TATTCTACAAAACTTAATAGAAACATATGATAAGAAACTCACTTACAAAAGATGATTATTCCAACTCAAAATCCTTCTCCTTTCTTTTCCGAATTCTTCAAATATCCTCTTTCTTAACGAAACACATCATTGCTTAGGTGATTGCTTAGAATAAGAATTAGGAAAGGATTTATACAGAAAAATAAAAAAGTAAAAACTAACCTTCTTCTCTTTCTTACCTCGGCCGTTCCTTCCCTTCGTTGCAAATTCTCTTAAACCTTTGCTTCTATAACAATAAGAACGAAAAGGAGTTGTTAAATCTTACCCTCCAACACACTCGTTTGCTAAATATGGCGAAGAAAAACCTCCAAGGCCACCGTGCGTGAGTTTCGGTCGTCCACCCCCCTCCGTTCTCCTCTTTGTTCGTGAATAGCGACCCGCCCTGGGTCGCGACTTCTAATAAAGGAATGGGGTGGCCGGTTCGGTTGAACCCCCCAACCGGTTCATTACAAATAAGTAGGATAAAATAATGCAAGCAATTTAGGTTAGATATTAGTTTCTGAATAGATAACAGTTTCATGGACAATTTAGGTATATAGAGGACATATGACAATTGAAGAGAAAATGTGAGTTCTATAAATCCCTTTCCAATAATGGTTCCATAATTTTTTTTTTAAATGATTTTCTAAGCAAGGTATACAAGAGAATTTTTTGGTTGATTGGTTACTATGATTCACCGACACTCCTTTTTCTAAGGAATATGTAATGTTGACATATGTCAAAGACTGACACTTGTTCGTCATGCCTCTGATGCCTGTTGGACATAGTAAAAATGCATACAAGTAAAATAATATTTTAAAAAATTGAACAAATGCGCCCTAAATATTTTATTAAAAATTATTTTTTAAATATAAATTCTTACTTATTCTCCACAACAGTGATGACACAGTTGTCAATGTTTGCTGAATGTTTCTTTTTGACTCGCAGCTAGTGTTTACTTTAATGCTTGATAGCATATCGACATCCGCACTTGACGATGATAATTTTTACACCCACAATCACGTCTTTGCACTCAACATCTCCACATCTCGACGATGATGTCCAATATCGTCTCAACTTCAATGATTGGTGCCCTTTCAAAATCAACACCTATAGTGATGCATGTTATCAATGTTTGTTTCTTGACAACGACATTATTCTACTTATTTTATTTCTATGCACTATTTTAATATCTAAAAATTATAATGATACGTCTAACATGTATCCGTGTTCTTTATTTTCAATAATTGATATGTTCTGTATTGTTTGTGTCACCATGTTCGTTTCTATGCATCCTAGGATGATTATATTGTATATTGCTCTCGAGTCTTTTATCTAGATTGTTTGAACAAGTATCACAAGCATAATAGAGGTATGAAGTGGAATACTCACATGATTGGGGCATAGAGTTGTACCTATTGATTTATCAAATGATGTCAAAAAGGTGTAGAGTTTCTTTATTTCTTCTTACCTTTGTCTTTTATGTCTGCAATAGTTTTATCTTCCAGGGATGTAGTGTTTGCTTGATGAGATAAGGTTTGTATTTAGTATGGATACTTGTTTTTGTTGTATGCAGGCTTCCATTGCTGTTTTTGATAGGTGTTTTTTGTATGACTTACCTTATTACAATAATTGAAATACCCACCTTGATTACTGGACCTTGTGGGCACGATTTAGCCTTGAATGGCTCAATTATGCTAGCATTTGGTCTAAGGACAACAATTAGAGTAACCACCTTCTCACCAATTGATAGTGTTTCTAACATAAGATCACATCTCTCCTTTTGTATGCCTTTCAAATAATTTAGAAATGATATTTTTTTATTAGATTTAAATGCTTGATGCTGCTGTTGTTGTTGTTGTTGGAATGAGAGTGTTTCCAAGTATTTGAATGCATACCTGGTCATGTTCAGCATTTAGTTCAGCTATAAGTTCATAAATTCTTTCTCTTTCTACAAATATTTCTAGCCTTGTAACATCTTCACTGCATCTCCTTTTTATACACCGGCAATAATCGTGTTCAATAGCCAAAAGAGAAATTATTTTTATTTCCTATTGGAAGACTATGGGAATTGTTAGGATTACTTAAAATTTTCATTAGTCTTTCAGCTTCGGAGTAATGGTTGAGGTAGTAAATAAAAACCTTTGAAACATATTAAGATATTTGGAAAGTGTTTAAGCAATTGGGATTTGCATCTTCATACTACTCAATTTGCATGCAACATTATATGCAAATCTACTGTGATGGCACCATTTAAAATTTCTTAGGGATTGAATCTTAGAAATCCTATAGATCCTGTTCATTTATTTATCACTACACGTATATTTTGATTCAGCTGCATCATTTTTTTAGCATATACATAATTTACATTGTAAGACTAGAAAGTTGATTAAATTGCATAACAAGAAATATTTAGATGCCGAAAATGTTAAAAGAGGTGCTTAAGTGCACAATGAAGGTGATTTTATTATGACTTATTTATGCCGCGAATGGTTCACATACCTAAATATAAGAAATTTCATGCAAGAGATGCAGTGCTGTTTTTTCAAAATTAGTGGGAAAATTAATTTTAATGCATGGTTTTAGATTTGTCTCATATTATGCTTATCAGTCTTATTTTTTTGATATTGAAAATTTATTGCCTTATAGAGGAACGCTTGAACCTCAAGAATTGCTTGTTGGTTGATATACAAGTGGGATTTCTATTATGATTATTTCTTTTATAGATCCAATCATTATAGTTCCGTCTGTCTACTTTAATGTTGAAAATATCATTTCAAATGAATTGATATTAAGAAAAAATGTTGATCACAAATTTTAGTTTAGGTAGAATGGGCATGCCTCCTTTAGATTATAAATGGATGACCAAGGTGGAATTGCAAAAGTTAGCTCTTGAAATGTTGGATGACTGCATTAATCCCAACTCTCTGGAGGAGAGTTCTTTGCACTTCAAGAAAGTTGATATTATACAAACCTTCGAATAGGCCAATTCGGTTAATGAAGTTTTGTGGCCATAAGTTAGTTACAAGAAGTCACATTAGGTTATAATAGATTTAAATCGGGCCATTTTTAAGCCTTTTTTGGCCTATTTTAAAAATTGGCTGACTTCTGATAATTTTTTAATTTGTATTATTTTTATTAGATTTTATTTTTTCTTTAATAAGAATATGTTTAAATTTGAGTTTTTTTCAATATTAGATAGGAATAGTTTTGTATTTAAAAGTTTGGTTTTATCCTGATATCATATTTCTATAAATAGAGACCCATAATGAAAGGAAGAGCCGGAGAAGGCAAAGTCGAACAGCAGCGACGGGATCGGGCGGCGGAGCAGGGCAAACTGAGCGGGCTCTCGGTTTGTTGCTTCCGATCAAACTGTTGTAACTTCCGATTCGGACAGGAAGGAGCGACGTCGGAGGGAGCGTCGGACGGCAGAGGGGTTCGACCGAAGAAGCTCTTGAAAGGAAGAAAGTTAACCGCACAGTGAGCGGGATCCCGTGGCAGCTTCCGATCAAAGTGTCGGAATTTCCTTCCGAACAGGAAAGAGAGGTCGTCGGAGCTTGAGGAGCACGCGAGAGAAAGATTGGGAGCAGAGGATTTGCGTCTGTGGAGTGGAACCGAGAGCAGAAGGAAGCAGCGACTGGAGCTTGCTGTGTGCGTGGAAACAGAGGGAGAATCGGTGTATGCGAAGTGTCCAAAGAAGCAGTGGAGGTTCGGTATTTAACGACACGAGCGGGAAGAGATCGAGAGCTGGATTTCGGCAGGGATTGCGGAGAAGCGACGCGAACGGCGCCGAATTTACAGTCCTCGGCGGAATTTCAGCAGGGATTTCGGCAGAAATAGTGGATCCATCGGGTAAGATGTATGCACGTTAGATTTTGGCTTCCTCTTTCTCTTTGTTCTTCTGTGTATAAGATGCAGGTCAACAGTTGTGTATACAGATTGCTCCAAATTCTGTATGTGAATTTTTTTTCTGCCTCCATCATGTGACCCGTTTATGCTCCCCTACATCCATTTTAATGACTTTCTTTCCAGGAGAGGACTCTTATTTTCCTTTAAGTAGGCTGTTTTAACCCCTAATCAGAAATATGCTCAAAGTTTTAGAAGTTTCTTATTAATAACATCGGCGCGCATACGTGAACAAACTCAAGAGCAGTGATTTTAAGAAATGCTTGACGTGGACAAACTCAAGAGCAGTGATTTTAAGAAATGCTTGTCAAATTTGGTGAATCTCTTAGATCTTTTTTTTCTGGAAAGGATAAACTAGTGAATTTGATGTTAGGATGATAGATGATTCTCTCTAGTTCTTTTGATGTTTTAATCCGTGGAAAATTTATCCATTGCCATCTATGTCAGCTTGAGATTTTATTGTAATAGTTTATCTAATTCTAATCTTATCCTTCTTGTGATAGGATAAGTTGATGAGCTCTTTGCTCAGCATACCTAGTTTGCGATAAGACTTATTGTCCTGTAGCTGTCTGCTTTAACACAATTCAAGTAAATATGTAGCTCATTCTCATTACTGAAGGTTGTACAAGTCATATTATTAGATGCGTATTTCTCTTCTGTATTTTGATCTATTTATGCTTAGCTGTACTTGTTCTTATGGTAATTCGTTTTATTCCTTTTCGTTATGGAAACTTTACAATTGAATATCCATGACCTTGAAAGATGTACCGTCGAGCTGGTTGTTGATATCCTCCATGTATATAATTTAGTAAAAACTTGTTTTCGTTTTATTAAATTCTCAAATGGCTTTACAAAAAATATAAGATAATGAATAATCTGGCAATCTGACCTAGTTATATTACAATGATTCACTTTCCTCTAAGATATTAATGTAGTATTCTGCAAATTTAAGCTTTTTCACCACTTCTATTAAATTCAAATATTATTTGATTTAACATGTCATTATACACTCCATTTAATTAATATTTGTTTTGGTATCTCTAATTATAATTCATTTAATCGGCAATTTTTCTCAGGCTTTGGAGCTTTTTAGGAAGCAGCAAGTTGATTTTCTTATTGCAACTGATGTTGCTGCTCGTGTAAGTCAGTGTATTTGTTTCATCATTCCAGATTTCTTTTGATGCATATTTTCTTTATGGTCGTTAATGAACTTAGCTAGCACCTGGATCTTACATCCGGCATCTTATGCTACGCTTTAGAAGGCTATATAACAATCTAATGAATCTATTTTTGGACCACATCAACACTAACAACCGGAAGCATGCAGAAGCAGATCTAAAGACTAAAACCCAAAAATACCAACTAGAAATATAAAATGAATTGAGCCTAGAAAGTGTACAAATCTCCAACAAGTAATAAATAAATCAATTACTTCACTAGGATATCGAAGCCTCACTCTCACATGCATTTCCACATGATGTGGTGCTTCTAGCAACCACAATGAAAACATGCACATATGATAATTTGCTAATTACAAGAATTGTCATTGTATCTATGTTGCCGGCTCTTTTGCCAGGAAATCGCTCAGTCAAAAATATGCCTTTATTCACAATCATTACACACATAAATTGCCCCATGAGGATTTCAATCCCAAGACATAGTGGAGCATATCACTACTGTTATAAACAAAATGGTAAATCATATATGAATTGATGTATTGTCATCTTGTAGTTGCTCTTGCCCATGAATAACAACCTAACAGTTTGCATAGGATTTGCAAACCTTTGTGCAACCGCAAGCAATTGAAGCCCTTCTCTTTGATATGCCTTGTCGTTTCTAATCATTGCCTATACAAGGAAGTGACATCTAACTAAAATTAATTTGAGTTTTCTTCATGATTTTGTAGTTATTGAATATAAATTACATGATCATCATTATCATTTGACCTTGTCCCAACTATTTGAGGAAGGCTTTATAAATCTTTCTTCTTCATTCTTTCTTTCTGAGCAATATAGGAGGCATGGCGCCTCAAATTATGCATGTATTTCTACTCAATATTTTGTTGTGCTATCTTTGGTCTATTTATTTTCTTGCCTGATCCACCATTAATTTGATATACAAAAAAATGATATATTTTTATTATTTTCTACATTTAATTGTACTTTGCCAACTACTGAAGTTTATTTTTTGATCCAGATCAAAGGTGCACCATAAAATGGATGTCCTATGTAACCATGTGGACTATTTATTTATTTATTATGCATCAAAATTTCATTGTTAGTCAGGGAAAAGGTTACATGAATAAGCATTTATAAAGAATTGCCTATAAAAAAGTAAAGAAATAAAATACATCAAAGCAAGATAATATAAAATCCATCCAAGTGTGGAAGCATGCACGCTTAAATACTTTCCAAGTCAATAATGAACTTAGCTAGCCCTCCCCTAATAGTGGGTTTGGAAGGTGTAGCATATGCATCTTTGGTTAAGCTAAATTATAGGATTTGGTGCACCATTGACATCTGCGGGATATCAAATGATGAATAGTGGAGAGGTGTTGGCAAAGATAAAGCGTGAGCCAGAGAGCCTTTACACCGATTCCTTGAAGCATCGATAAAGGTGGTGAAGAGCAAGCCCCAGGATGAAATGGAAATCATCTCCACATAGGTAGATAGAATGCATTTCCATTGAGGACATCAATACCACAACAAATGATTGACATTAGAGAACAAATTCATACAAGCATAGGTTGTGAGGGAATCTATTGTCCTAATATGCGGTACGATATTAATGTCATGGGTAGTAATGTGGGAGCACAGCGGAGAGGGAGGAAAGCCATGAGCATAGGTCATGAGATTGGGTGAGTGGAGCTTGTGTGAGGGTAGACAAGCATGGAATATCTCTGAGGGGAGAATGGTAGTTGGAGAGAGTTTTAAACAACTAACTAGTTTCCATTTTTATATGTGAAGCTTCAGGGTTTCTTACATGGAAGAATTCTTGACCTGGAGAGGTTTAGTGTTTTTAAGGATTCATGCAGAAATTAGGGTTTTAATGAAAACCAATCTAGTAACATGCATGACCTTTCAAGTTTGAATCAAGAGGATTTTGATGAATTGGATTACTATGCAACTTGACAATCTAAACCTTAATTAAGGTTCCTTGCAACTGTCCTATTCTTTTAAGCTCGTATCAAAGAGAGAGGATAGGGTTTCTAGGGAAACCAAGCCAGTACTGTGCAAGACCCTTCGAAGATGGAATCAAGTTGATTGAAATGAGTGGATTACCATTCAAGTTGCCAATCTAAACCCTATTTAAGTCTTCTTGCAATTTCCTTTCTTTTACTTCAATACTCTTGACCATGGAGAGGGAGACGAGGCTTTGGATTTTGTCCTGAGAAACATGAGGGAGCCTTGGGATTTGTACTCTTGCTTAGGAATTCATGCTAGAAGGCCTCAAATTGTATTAGAGAGAGCGAGGATGGTGGTTAGTGCTTTAGACCAAAGGAGAGAGGGCGGTTGTGAGATAGAATTTTGAAGAGATGATTAAATTAGTTGCTTTAACTTGAAATTAACATCATAAAGCTTCATATAGGATGATGAGAGCCAATTCAAAATCCAAACATTTAAAAAATTACACGTTATCTAATTGCACTAAAGTAGGGAGAATAATTCAAAACCTTAACAAACTAATAAAATGCACTTAAATAATTTAAAGAAATCCCCCCTCTGTGGTGGCCTGTCAAGCCGCCTCCGGAACTTTGATTTTTTGTTTTTAATTTATTCTTAAGGCCCTTCACTCATTTTGGTGATTATGCAAAGAATAATTTCTTGGATTTGAGGGTGGAGATCTGCTTAGATCATTTTTCCTATTATTTACACTGGGTACTACACATAGTGTTAATCATTCCTCACTATATATTTTCTTGGTTTCAGCACATACCTGCATTAGCATTTTTCTGTCAATCAAAATCTAATTGGCTATAAATGTCATTTTTGTTGCTTGAGCTTCACATTAAGGGGCTGTTTGGTTGCCTGAAAAAGAAATGCAGTGTAAAGTAAATGCAATGTAAAGTAAATGTATTGTATTCTGAATACATTGAGACTGTTTGGTTCTCTGCAAAATAAACACAGGAGAACGGTTTCCCTTGTTTGGTTACATAGATCCAGAGTAAAGTAAAAGTGATTTTTTTAAAATAATTTTAAAGAAATTCTTGATACTCATGTAGCCATCTATTAGTATTTTCATCAAAACTTCTCACACTGCCATTTTCAATTTTCAATATTTTTTTTGTTACATTCATAAGACTTGAATTGAAGGGCTCTTAGGCATTGTTTGGGATAAATATTACTTTATAAAGCTGTTTTTCAAAACTTTTTTTTTTTTCAAAAAATCATTATTAAAATACTCCAGCCCTCTCCTATATTATAGCACAAAAGCAAATCTTGTAATAAACCTGTGTAGCTTTATACATTGCCTTATGTATTAATGTATGAAATCAAGATCTATAAATACTTAGGCCTGTACCGTATGATACAGAGAGAAAAATGAATATTTCTTTCTTAGTCATTCCTTGTTCTTGCTTTCTCCATTTCTGCGACGAGAGCGAGGGAGAGAAAGCGGACGAGAGCGTAGTAGCTCCTGGATGCTTGCAGGAATGGAAGTTTGCGGAAGTAAAGCTTTCCAATATGTTTGGGCTGAGGTTGCTCTCCTCATCGCTGCATGCGAACTTGTGAGCTGCTACAACTAAAAAAAAAAAAACACATCCGTCCAAGAATTTCGACACTGGCAAAATCGCCGTCGCCGTGCTCGTCGCCGTCGGCTTCTCCCTATCTGCCCTTCTCTTCTTCTCCATCCACCATTTCTTAACCAAGCACCGCAAGTCAGAACCTCAAATCTACCTCACCAACCCCATGCCCCCTTTCCACCGCTCCAAGATCGACCAAAATCTCAGGAGCGTCGCCGTCGATGACAGCGCCCTTGATGTCTTTTACTGGCAGAGCATCAACGAACCCGCTCCCAAGCGGTGCTATCAATGCAATAGGTGACTTGAATGATCTTCCGATGATGAGGACGATCTTCCTCCAGCGGAGAAGAGCCGGAGGCGCTTGCGGAAGGATTTTGTTGCTTCCCTCCGACATAGTGCGAAAAACTCGCGCTGGTTCGTAGTATTTTGGCGAGAGATTTTGTAACCCGCTCAATTTGAGCGGGTTTTGAAGTCATGCGAAAAGCACGTCGGAATACCCCACAAATACTTCGGATGAATTAATTACGTTGCGCTCAAAATCAACCAAACAGTCTCATTTACGAAATGCGCGCAACTTAATTACTTTACACTCTTAATTCTGCATACCAAACAGCCCCTAAGTCATTTTCCAAAGACGTGTGAGCTAAAGAAAACTGTCTATCCTACACTAGCCTCCATTTTACTTGGCAGTTGGGTCCCCAGTTGTGAACAAGGCATGCTAAAAAGACATTACTGCTGCTGCATGTGGCTGCAGTTTTTGGAAGAACTTTTATTGCATAGCTCATAATGTCATTCAGTCTAAGTTGAATAATATATAAAAATTGATGCATCCCACGCATGATCAAACACTATAAAATGGCATGAAGGTATATCTCACACTATTATTATTCACATGAAATATGATGCTCAGTATTGGTCCTGTTTGTGATTGTCATAGAATAAACAAATTGAGATTAAGATCATGTACATGCTTTTCATAGATATGATAACGGGGGCCTATGGATAAGTTTTCAACAATAAATTTAAGTACAATTTGTAAAATATTAACCCCAAATGAGTGCTCACTTTAACTTGTTTATACATATAAATATACGGGACATAATGTTTGATGTATTATTTCTTTTATTATGGTCTCTTCTCGTTTAGCATCTCTTTTATTGGAATCAACACATGTCATTTGTTTTTATCTATAGTTTTTGTTATTCACTTTTCAATTTAATCATTACATGCATATCTTTTTATTTTTCCAGGGACTGGACATTGTTGGTGTTCAAACAGTTATAAGTTTTGCATGTCCACGTGATATCACAAGGTTGGTATAGTTTTCTCCCATCGAGCTTCGTCTTTGATGTAATTATATGCTTTTTTTGTGTTGAGAGATCATGATTGTTAGTTTGTCTTTCCCTAAGTCGAGATGAGTGAACCAAAAGGAAAGTCAAGTACTATAATATGAAGAAAACCTATATGGAACATCTTATATATATTTTCAATACCTATTGCACAATATTCACGCAAAGTTCAAATTTGTAAATTGAACCCATCATTTATGATATAATGTTAGGATTCTCTTATTAAACTTTCTATGAACTAATTCCGAGGATTACTTGCGAGCTGAGATTCAAAAATTTTTTTTTTTATCTTGATTCAATGTTTCCTCAAAACTTTTTTTTTTTTTTTCTTAAAAGATTAGATGATGTAATAGAAAAATAACAAAAAGGCCCTAGTAATCTACTTTGTTGATTATATTAAGGGTTTTATTACAATTTAAAGTTGAAAGAGCTTGTATCAAGGAAAACATATGGATAGCTCTGCAGGTTTTTATGTTTATGATTATGTAAAATAATTACTTTTTTAATGACTTGAATCTTAGTTTTATTATGCATTGGTACGGACACTTAATCAAGGTGATGATATAACATTGACATGCTCTATGGCTATTTTTGAAAATGTAGGACACAATACGCATGCTGGATATGCCATATATATATATATATATATAATGTTTCAGGTCAAATTTTAAGATGAATTATGTCAGAGATTAGATATTACCAAAAAGTTTTATCCTCATTATATGAGCACTTTAAGATCTAAGTTTAGGTTTCCCATAAGCATAAGCCCCTATGATTAATTACCCTTCTCGATGGTGGGAGAACACTTTTGATTAATATTAATCGTTAAAAAGGCATCAAGTACCTAGCATATACTAGCAACCGATTTTATATTAGATTTATAAGTTATCATCTTGCATTAAAGCATATAGTGGGGAGGAATGATGACGAACCTAATAAAGATCCTATAGTTCCATCATCCCAGGTTGTCATGGTTTCTAGTCTGCTTATTTAGAGACAATCGATCCAACTTGACCAAATGATTCTTATTGGCAGTCATGTATTGCTTCGCCCAAAGATACCTTATTGACTTTGGGTTGATGTTTGTCTAAGGGTTAAATTTAAGTCGACCTTAACTAATAGAGGATTTTGTATCCTATCAAGTATATCCTATGATTCAATACATAAGAATATTAGCCATTGGAGAACATACAAGTTCAGATTGTGATTGTAAAATGACCCGATCATAATAGTTTGCCTATGGAGCCATTTTTGAGGCTAAGTCACCTGTTAGAGGATATGTTTCATATCCTTATTGATGGGAGATTATTTGACAATGAATCATATTAATATTCTTGACTGGACATTCGCTTTTTGTGTGAGCTAAGGTCATTCTTGAATTAAGCACTCTCGCTAAATTATTAAGGGTAGATAGATGCTTCTTTAAGTTTAGGTAATTGAATTTTCATATTTATTATTTTTAGTATAATTCGAGCCCTAAGTGGTTAACTTTAGAGTTTGGGTGTATTTTTCAAAATCATGTAAATTTTCTATCATTACAATCACTATGGGGTGATGTTGAAGTCACTCTGGATATATTTATACCTTATGAGAGTTTGGAATCATTTAAAAATATGAAGTTCCCTCTGGTTAAGAGTCACTTTCATCTCAACTATTATCAGAGATAACATTCAAGTCGCTTTAAATATATTTGTATTATATCAGAGTTTGAAGATATCTAAAAAGATGAACTCCCATATAGTTGAGATTCATTTATAAGAAGTTCATCATTGGGGTGACTTTGAGGTCACTTGGTGGTATAGGACTAGGAGGCGTGATTGTGGTCTAGTGAGAGAGGAATTAGAAACCAACATGCTAGGCACGATGTTGTGTCCATCGGTCATTTTCTTCTTCACATTCCGTCTAATTAGTTGCGACACATATATGGAGGTCAAGATAAACATGTGATGTCATTCTTTTATTTTTCTCGTAATATATGAAGGTTAAGATAAATTATTAGATTTGATCTTTCAATTGGATAGAATTAGAAATAAACATGTGTTTTAAACAACACAAACTCTTGAAATGTAACTATTTCTTTATTCACATACATGAATAAATAATAAGATGTTCCTTTTTTTAGAACATGTACTCAAGAAACAACGAGATGGGTTCTTTGAATGATGCCTTTATGCTTTAGTTGCGCTAAAGCGCTGGTGAGATTGCAAGCATTTTATCTCATTGGGTAGTAGAAGGAAAAGAAAAAGGCAAAAAAATACACTTAGTCTGTACTAATTAAAATTTTCTTTCCTCGTTTGATTTTTTACTAGTTATAATTAGATTTTCTTTCTCTTTCCAATTTTTAATTTTAATGTACTCTACTCTACCAGTAGGAAGTTTAAATTGACTTATTGCTCATGCAAGTAAACGAAGCAATTTGCTAGTTAATGTGAAATTCATAGCAAGGAAAAACACTTGACTGGAAAGCTACAACTGTGTGAAGAGTTGGGGGGGATGAGTGGGGTGTGTGGGGTTCAAGGGATTTACAAGAGTTAGAGGAGAACGTTGCGGGTTGCTTTGTGCGTGAGCAGGAGAGGAGAAGAGAAGTTCAGATTAATGTGGAGCTGGAGTTTAGCCAATCTCATGCGAATGGTAGAGAAGAGCTTCAGATTGTGCCAAGTAAAAAGGTGAGGTCGAGCTTTTCTTTCATTCTCTATTTTTTTACGTGAATAATGGACGAGTAGGATGGGACAAAGACAACACCAAATTTGTAGGGATTTGGTCTGAATAGAGGCCAGCTTCAAGTTGGGGATTTTTTAAAATGTTTATTTTATATATATATATATATAATTGATTAATTTTTTTATAGAAATTTAATGCATAGATAAAAAGGACAAAAAAAGATGTGAATCAATCCCTCAGAATATTTCCTTGTTATCGGGTGTCTCAATTAGTGTGTGATTACCTCGTGCGTGGGTATGTTTCACCTTTTTTGCTCGTGAGACAACCTAAGAAATATGGGTGTCATTTTTAACTAATTTTGACATTCCGAACGCAATGATGAAATACATTTTGTGAATAGACGACGTTCGGATGATTTTCCTAAATATCACACTCATTGATTATTGTTTTTTTGTTGAACCGACACAAGGGGGTTCTTCCTCGGTAAATTCGATGTTCCAAGCACGAAGACAGTCTATTTTTCAAACGAACGACATTTGAGTGATTTTCGCGCAACATCAAGGCATTTTGGACCTATATTGTACAATATTGTGTTTGTTCACCATTGAGGTATTTCGAGCCTGATAGGCGCGATGTTGTGTCCATCCTTCATCTTTTTCATCGCATTCTGCCTAATTAGTTGCGACACATATATGGAGGTCAAGATAACTCGGTAATTTTTTTAGGTCAAGATAAATTATTAGATTTTGATCTTTCAGTTGGATAGAATTAGAAACCCACATGTGTTTTACACTCCACAAACTCTTCAAATACAACTTTTTTGTTATTCACCTACATGAATAAATAATAAGATGTTCCTTTTTTAGAACATGTACTCAAGAAACAACGAGATGAGCTCTTTGAATGATGCTTTTATGCTTTAGTTGTGCAAAAACATTGGTGAGATTGCAAGCATTTTATCTCATTGGGTATTTGAAGGAAAAGAAAAAAGGCAAAAAAAAAACACTTATTCTGTACTAATGATTTTTTCTTTCCTTGTTTGATTTTTTACTAATTATAATTAGATTTTCCCTCTGTACTAGTTATAATTAGATTTTTTTCTCCTACCAATTTTTAATTTTAATGTACTCTACACTACCTGTAAGAAGTTTAAATTGACTTATTGCCCATGCAAGTAAACGAAGCAATTTGCTAGTTAATGTGAAATTCATAGCAAGGAAAAACACTTAACTGGATGTTATGTTAAAAAAAAACCTTTAAAAACACTTAACTATTGAGTCAACGCCACATATACTACAATCGAGAGCTAAATGGAGAATAATGATTTATAAGTTGATCCCAAATAGTTGAGATAAGGACAATGAAGATGATGGTGATTATTATGATGATCTAGACAATATAAGGCAAATATATATTATTTTATTAAAAATTGCTCAATGAGCACGAGGACTATTTCTCATCAACTTGCAGTATGATGAATGAATAGGTGGCCTCAATGGGTAATATTGTGTTAATGTTAAATGAACATTTGTTTTTATGGTTAATTGAATTGATATGTAAACATCTCTAGATAAATTAATAATGACATGGAGACTGGCATCCCACGCTGCCGTTGGTTGCCTATTCCTATAATCCTTTTTGTAATTTTGTTGTTCTCTATTATATTATTCTCACGGTTATCAATAATCTTATGTTTGATATTCCAGAAGTAGCATTCCTTTTGTACGATATTGCGGTTGGGTTGCAATTTGTGCGATGCTCTTGCCACTAGTGTGTGCCATCGTGAGATACTTGCAGCTAGGTGGGGGGTGAATATAACTCCACATACAATTTAAAGTGATCTGCATACACACCTTGGTATTGAAAGCTCTAAATTAGCCATGAATAATTTCATTCATTTAATATTATTAATAAATAATATTAATTACATAGAGCAGATCCCTTCTTATTGAAAATATTGTTACATAAAAAAGCATGAAGTTTAAATAAAAATTATCCCATCTTGCATGTAAGTAAATTTCTATCTAAATTTTAAGCATAAGCTTATCTCAAGATAATTTAAATAAATCAATTAGAAATAATTGAAAGCTGGGCCATTTTTAAGTATGGTTCTAAAAATGCTTGAAAATGGGCCCAGTTTGAATATGGCTGGGGCTTGTTTGACTTAAAGTAATTTATTTGTAGCTACATGTGCTGCATGAATTCCAATTGACTGTAAGAAAGAAGAAAAAAACTTTATGTAAAAAACTTGGAATGCTCCCCTTGCATAGGTTCGATATAAGAAGAACTCCACAAATAATTAGATTCTTTTAATATCAGTTACCTAGCCGGGGATCCTTACAAATCCTTATTTATTAAAAAGAGTGTTACATAGATATACTTGAATTTTAAATCAAATATAGTCCTGTCTTGAATGTAAGTCAAACCCTATCAAAAATTTAAATCTAAACTTATCCAAAGTAGATTATTTAATCTAATAAATTTAATCAGCTAAAAATAATAGGAAATTTGGCCAGAAACAAATATGGTTATTAAAAAGCTTGAAAGAGAATCAGTTCTAATTTACTTTGGTTTGATTTGACTTTTGATAATTGTCCTGTGACCACTTTGGCTTTTGTGGTCTATTTTGACCTATTTGAAGGCATATACTGCATCAAATCATTTTCTCTCAATCATCTGGATTGCTCTATTTTTAGACGTATTTTGTTTTCTGATTTTGTGGCTAATACTTTGTGATTATCCTTTTTTATTTCAATTTCTTTGTATTTTTCGGCAACAAATGTATGCAAAATTTTAAGTTGCTTTGATTGATGAGTGTTTTTTAGGGGAATTTTGTAATTATAATAAGCTGCTTGGGCGTTTTGGCTTGTATAAAAATCAAGTTGTTTTGAATCAAGATATAGTTGGGTACGCTATTCTTTTTTTATTTATGCAGTCTACTCCTTGAAAGCTTATCTCCTAGCACAAGCTTGAGAATATTCGATGAATGTGATATTAAGAGAGGGCAATTGATTTGATATTGTACATAGGAAATAAAATATATAGTTTTTATATTTTAAACAAATAGAAATTTTAAATACAAGAAATTATATTTTATAAGTAAGAGTTTGTAACTTGTAATACATGATTCCCTTAAGATTGACTATCTCTTAATTAAATGGAAAATTGTGCCTGTTGCTGTCCCATCTTGTCGGGTTGCTTAATCTTAATGCTTGCTCTATTTTCATGCTTATTTCAACTTTTTAACTTTGTTTGGGTTAGGTACTTTAATTTGGTTAATTAATCTTATACTATTCATTTATGGCTACATATGTTTCTCCAAACAGCTATGTTCATCGTGTTGGACGAACTGCGAGAGCCGGCAGGGAAGGATATGCTGTTACTTTTGTCACTGATAATGATCGCTCACTCTTAAAGGCCATTGTAAGTATTCTATTTATTGTTTACAGGTTGCCTAAGTTGAAATATGTTAAAGATTATATATATATATATATATATATATATATATAAACAGATGCTGTCTACTATGCTTTTTTGCTAATGTCCATCAATAAATGATCTCAGTACTCTTCTGAAATTTCTGTGATTATGAATGAATGGTTGATGTTGTTGAGGACTATGTAATATCATTCAACTGCTTTGATAAGTATATGTTCTTATTGATCTCTTTAGGCTAGCCCAATTGGAAAAGTTATTGCAGCTTTGATTTATCTGTTGTGAGTTTTGCATCTCTTATTTTCTACCGGCAATGTTTACAGCAATTGTAATTTCAATGGCTGTCTGACTTATGATCATTTATTGATTTGAAATGGACTATGTTAGGATGTTCTTAAAATGCAATGCTATGATTGTTATATGATTTGACTTATATTGAAAGATTATCTTCAACTGCTATCTTGCAAACTTAAATTTCAGAAAAATGTTTGCTGCCTTGATTTGCATTTCCTGTGGTATTATTACATGATTGATTTAATTGATCAATACGATTAAATCTTTGTTAAAGATGTGTATTTCACTCTTATTTAATTTTGACGCTCTCCTTTAACAGGCAAAAAGGGCAGGCTCAAAACTGAAAAGTCGAATTGTTGCAGATCAACCTATTACTGAGTGGAGTCGTTTTATTGAAGAAAATGAAGATCAAATTTCTTCAATTTTTCGGGAAGAGAGGTCTTTTCTTGTTCTTAATCTTTTTCATCCTGGTCAGTATATCCTTCACTTTTTCATTGGTTGTCTATTGTGTTCAGGGAGGAAAGAGCATTGAGAAAAGTCGAAATGGAAGCAACAAAGGTTCTACTTGCAATTTTTTGGCTTTTTGCCAGAAATTTTGGCAAATTTATAAATGTAAAGCTGTTTTAATAATACAATTAGTCCTTATATGCTGTTTTATTTGAAATCGCAGGTAGAGAACATGATCAAGCACAAGGAGGATATATACTCACGCCCAAAAAAAACCTGGTTTGTTAATGAGAAAGAGAAAAAACTCCTTGCAAAGGCTTCAAAAGTAAGTTTCTAGACTGATTGGTTCTGACATGTGAATTATATGAATGGACCTACTTCTCTTCAATGGTATGTCCTATATAGGGTGTAGGGGTGTCAATTTGGATTAGTGGGTTAGGATCGGGTTTGAACTGAATTTGCTTTACTTATTTATTATATGGGTCAAAATATTGAACCAACCCCTCCTCAATTTGAACTCGTATAACTCAAACATGATCAAACTAGGAGTAAAAGTCCAAAATAGTCCCCCGACTGTTAGTAAATGTCTAATTTAGTCTCAGAATTTCATGATGACCCAATTTAGTTCCCAGACTATTTGAAAATGTTTCAATTTGATCTCAAGGTCAAAAGTAATAGTTAAAATTAATCTTAACAGTTAAATGTGAGTGCACTTTGGATATTATGGTGTATGTGAGATTATATTATTATTTTTATATTTAATTATTTATCATATTAAAAAAAATAAAAATTATAATGGAAGTTAACCACATTTATTAAATATTCACTCTTGTTATTTAGTTGGTTAAGTTTCATTATGATTTTAATCTTTATTTTAATATAATAAATGATAAAAATTATAAAAATAATAATATAATCTCACTTACATCCTAATACCCAAAATGCTCTTACGTTTAAATATTGAGTTAACTTTAATTATTACCTTTGATTTTTGGGATCAAATTGAGACATTTTTTAATAGTTAAAGTTTTTGCATGCAAAAGATCTTGAAAATGGAGAAGAAATACTGTTGATGAAGTTCATACCACATGAATAAGATCGATCATTGTATCAAGGAGATGGAGGCATTTTTCTCCATTCGTCAATCCCATTGTTCTTTGGTGATACCGAATCATCCGCAAATTTTTGGCCTATGAGAAGTATCCTTTTATCCATTCCGCACAAATCCTTGTGCTTGTATTATCATCTACATATAGTTTTCATTATATCTCATCAGTGAATAGGAAGTAAACTGTGAAAGATACAATTTTGGGATTTTTTTTATTCATTTTTTTCTAAAATTATGATTGTTCGTCCTGAAACATTTGCAAATATATACTTTGAATAGCCTAAAACGTGTGGGCATACCTCAAGATTTGCTGCATCAGATCACTCAAAATTATGTTGCTATCAATGATTTTTTATCTTCTTGCAATATGTTGTAATTAATTGTTGCTAATTTCCTTTGATGATTCTATTCTGACCTTCAAACTCTTTATCGCTTTTTTGGTACATAAGGAATTTGTGAACAAAGGTCAAAATGGCTCTCATGGGGTGATGAGTGCGCAGCAGGCAGAAGAAATGAAATTGAAAGAAAAAAGAAGAAGGGAACGTGAGGTAATTATTCTCTATTCTAAGCTTTTTCAACGTATGCAAAATTTTCTCTATAAAGTTCCATCTTCACTTTTTATAATAAAACAGAAAAATCTGCCCCGTAAAAAACGCCGAAGATTGGAAGCTACTAGGGAAATGCTAGAAGATGAAGAATCCAAGAATCCGGAACAGGTTGGTGTCTTTTATTTCTGTTTAATTGATTATTCTCTTCTTTCCATGCCAACTTCATTTTTTCTTGTTGAATATAAGCTCTTAAAATTTATCCGCTTGAACTTTGGGTTTTTTTTAAAATAGTTTTATCATCATGCTTGACGTAGCTTTTGAGTAATTGGAATGTGTAATCTTTGTCTTTTGTGCTTTTTTTTTCTATAGTTAGTTCTTTTAAGAGCTTATACTTCTGTTATCCTTTTTTCTCTTTTTGGTTCCTCCATGTTTTTTCTGTAGTATCTCGACTTGTTTTAGGTTCTATATGTTGAAGCAGAATCGGTAGTTAATATCTGCATGTAAAGTTTAACAAAGTGTTCCATGTAGCTAAAATTAAGAGTTTTGCTCTATTTTTTCTTTTTATTTTATGAGGATAAGCTTGAACAGGAGAATAGCTTACTTTTATATGAAGCCCTGTAATTTTTTTTTATGTAAAATCAAGCACAAAAAGTTTGTGAACATGATATCTGGTATTATATTGAATGCTTTTTTTTAATGCAGTTAGGTGGAAGTGGTAAGAAAGGGAAAACGGGACAGTCAGTAGTTGAACTAGCTTATAGACGAGCTAAATCAATGAAAGCTGGTAAGGGCTTGAGAAATTCTAATAAGAGGACAAAAAAACCTGAACAAAATCAGCACAGGAAAGAAGAGATGCTTGAACTATTCCAGAATGAAATCAGTGAAAGAAAGCCAACGCATGGGAAAAGTCGTAATGTTTCTGGAAGGACGAAACCCAAGAGCTCCTTCAAGAGCAAATCGAGGTATTGGTTGAATATCATGATCCTCTGTTTCTTGATATCATTTTAGGTTTACTAGTCTCTCCTGAGCCTGACTTCAAATTATATTTGCTACATGACTTCTGTGTTTTGCATTTTGTTTAATAATACTTTTTAGCTTATTTATTTTTCAAATGTTAACTTATCATACTTCTGATTTTCTTTAAAACGTACAACACAGCACCATGTTGCACGCACCTCTTTCATGGCTTTATAACCTTGGCTAATACACTCGCTAAATATTCATCTTTATTTCATACCTAAAAACACGAACATTACATGAAACCTAGGCATCTTTTGAAGTCCTTTTTACGGTCTCATACTTCTGATATTCAACACAATGTGCATAGCAGTATTAACATATAATGAAGGAAAACAAAAGACCAACATGCCCTTAGAGCTTACATAGGATTATTTCCTCAAGTGATGGCACAAATGGAAAATATGTAATAATAAACTTAATACAAACATAATAATAAATATAATACAAATAATAATAAATAACTTAAAAGTAAAGCGGTGCAATCGTGGCCGTAGATCATTGGCCCCGTCTCTGGTAAACTCTCTATGGTCGGATGTCCTCATCACTTTCTTTTCATATAAACGAGTTAGCGGGTCATGTTCAGGTCTATGATTTTAACCCATTTATTAAATGCATTGAGTTCGGGTCGGATAGGTTTAAAGCAGACCCAATCAGGCCTGTTCACATATTTTGACATCTGTAATTTTATATATTAAATTTATAAAAAGAAAAAAAATTTAATTATCTAAATTTTAGCTTTTTAGGCTTGCGCCTCTTACAATGATATCATCAATTGTGGACAAGTTGCAGGTGCAATATAGCATTCTTCTTCATATTTTCTTATCAAAAATAAAATGTGATGCTTAGAAAAATCAGCTATAAAAGCATTCGTGAACTAATTTTGGACCAATAAATTACATTTCCAAATATCGCTTACCAAAAATTTAAGCTGAACTATATCTAGGGGACCTATGATTAAAGTGCTATTGTGCAAGTCTCGTTATTAAGTTTATCACTTTTTTATTGAACTTATCTCAACAAATTTCAATGAAGTATAACAATGTTTTCTTTAGATTTTTTGCAATTCATCCATTACTAAAACAGTGCTTCATTATGATAGCTTCGCTGTCCTTTTTTCTTGGATCTTTAAGATCTACGTCTGTAACTCTGCCCTGCATTGCGTGCCCTTTTCTACTATTCTTTTTAAGCCTAAGAAAGTTCTGAAATTTTAAATGTTTTTGGATTGTTAATATATTTGTTTTATTATTTTCTTTTCGAAGTTTTAAACTATTTATAATGCTGCCTTATTTTCTACTTTCTGAGAAGCTAGTTGTACTGCTAGATACTGATATTTAAAATGTTTTGTAAGGTACAAATTTAACATAGATGAGATTCTAATATAGGATCTTGACAAAAACTTTAAATAGTTTGCATCTCTACTAATCCTATGCTTTTTAATGTATCAGCCATGTTTTCATACCTGCTGTATCTGAAGGGACATGAAACAGAAAAAATATTAAAATGGCCCAAATTAAAATAGTTGGGTTGCAACTGTTTATATACCTTCAGTTGTGAAGTATATAGAGGAAATGGAAGTTGTGTAATAGAGTAAATCTTCTAATGTATCCACTAAAATTTATTGATAATATATTTAAAAGCCATTAAATTTATTTTGAAATATTTGCAATAGAAATTTTGTTACATTATCAATATGTTACACTAGAGACAAGATATAAAATAAGTATATACAGGGAAAGGTTGGAGTAGCTCTGGTAGAAGATAAGATTAGAGAGTCGTCTTAGGTGATTTGGTCACATAAAATAGCGGCCTTCTAATTACCGGTTAGGAAAGTAGATGTATTATATTTGACTTATGTAAAAAAAGGTAGAAGTAGACTTAAAAAGACTTGGTTAAAAAAGATTAGAAATGACATTTTTATTAGATTTAAATTAACAAGATATAATGGAGAAAAAATATTCTTGTAGCCGACCCAACGTAGTGACACAAAGGCTTGATGTTGTTGTTATATCTATATGTTACACTCTTTTCAAAGCAAATTTGATCATTTTGAGACTCATATTGACTACAATTAAATCAGAATATCTTAACCTAACTTTTGTCCTACATAAATTTTCAGCGAATGTATGCTGTACTTATATTTACCCAAATCTTTTCTGCTTTGAACACAGGTATAAACGTAGAAAGTAGTCTTCTAAAGGACTTGCTGTGCAAGTTTATGAGGGATAGGTGCCTTGCAAAAATGTCAGGTCTTGCCTTTTCAGTTAGCTTATCTACCTGTTTTTTTTTTTTGGAAATGATCTGTATTATGTTTTCTATATCTGAAGCTTAATTTTCCCGCTACAGAATTGATTACATTTGGAGCTGTAAGCTGTCCTAGGAAATCTTCTCTAATTTAGTATATTTTGTAAATTTGCAGAATACGGTTAACACATTCTGCATTGCATATGTAGATTTCATTTGTGATATTTTAGATCTCTGTATTGGAAAAAAATTATTTCAGTTCGGATCCTGGACGGCGTCCGGAAACCAATCAAAATGTGACACTTTTTTTTTTTGCTCGGTATCGCTGTGTACCGGATGACGTAGCGCGTTCTGATGGTCCGTACATCATAAATTTCTCCTGTATTAGCTGTATGCATACATAGATCAGGCATACTCAATGCAGAAAATAGTTGGAAATATATATATATATATATATATATATATATAATATATATTATATTATATATAATATATATATATATATATATATAGTAAAAGATTTAAAGATATATGATTTGATGAGATTGAATCCTCTATTTGCATTGGAAAAAAAGTAATATTTATATATGGAGCAGATATGTTAGATTAAATATTTAGGCTTCGTTTTGGGACGGCTTTCTTCTTGCTCTTAAAGCGGGCTTTCTAGTTAAAAAGTTAAAATTTTTGACTAGAAAGCTGTTTTAAGAACAGTAGGAAAAGCCGTTCCCAAACGAAGCCTTAGAGATAATATTAAATATAGAATAAGTAATAGATTTTGAAGAAATCAAAGATTCTTGAATTATATATCTTGTTTATAATAAGATTTTTTTTTTAAGAAGACATTTGTCAGCTAGCCTTCTGTTTTATTTCCTCAATATTATTTTTTCCTCCTACTTTTTGTCTCTATCCTTATTTTATTTTTAGTTTCCACTAAAGACTTGAAAGTATTAGTTATATGGGAGATTACATACATGCACCTATGCTATTTTATTTACATACTTAACACTTAAAATTTATATTACATACATACCACTCATAGTTCATTTTCATATCAAAAATGAGTGGTAGAAATAAAATATATGAGTGGTAACAAAAAAATATAAGTGGTATATTTGATATTAAAATAATATAGGAAGGTATGAATGTAATATTAAAGTTTTGGGTGTTAGATATGTAAATAGGATGTTATAAAGTTGTATGTATTTAAATTTCCCTAGTTATATTATAGGTGTGTGAATAAATAATATGGGTTTGAATTGACCTTTTTAGTAAATAGGTAGGGCTAGGGTTGGGTCTTCTAGCCTATTTATTAAAACCATCTGGTTTGTGTTAACTTAAATTCATTTTTGACTGTTTAATATTTTTAAATTTTTTATTTAGTTGTCGGTGTAATATTATTTTTTATTAAATATTTTAAATTTTATGGTTTCTAAATTATTAAAAAATTTAATCAAAAAGGGTTAAATTTAGTTGCCAAAAAATCATAAAAAAACTAGAGGGCCAAAATTTGTTGTGCTATTTTAAAACAGGAAATCAAAAGATGTTCAATGTTTCCACCTTTATTAGGGCAAATTATTATGTCCGATGTCCGGATTTGTTCGAACACTAATTCGATGTCGCCACTTCACCAAAATACACCGAGCCTAGTGTATTTGGGTGACATGATGACACCGGATTGGATGTCCGGTGACAGGACGAAATAATTCGCCCTATTAGACCGTCAATGGTCACAAATCCTCTCTTTTTTAATCACAAATAAATAATATAATATTTTTAACATTTCATTATTAGCTAAATGTATAATTTGTTGTATAAAATGAAAACAAAAAAATCTTATAAACTTTTCTTTTACAAACTATTCAATCTATTTTTCAAACAAAAGCAATTTATTTAGCCTTAATAATTACAACATAATGTTTGTTATAAAATATAATTACTATATCCATAAAGAAGCTGTCCAACCAAACATAATAAATATATCATATAACACTTTTTGTTTTTTAGTATCTTAATTTGAACGTCAACAAAATTTATGCGTTCATGTAGCCATAGTCCATACATTATACTATTGAATAAATAATTGACCTATTTTTCTAAGTATAAAAGAGTAATAATTCATATAAATTATACAGTACAGCAATAACAGTAAGACAATATAAAAATATTATGAAGACAAAATTTAAGCGAATATGAACGTCTCCAATACGAGAAATTATTCTTTGCGAACACCAAGCGTAGCTCTAAATCTGAAGGCGAATTAGAACGCACCAAATAACTCGGTACGTAGTGGATATATAACCATGGTACATAACAAAGAGGTGACATGACGTGCTCTAATTTTCCTCCAAACGATGTTTAATGTCCGCACGGAATAATTAATCCTCCAAGATAGCAAACAATGATTTCTAAAGCAGAGAAGAACTCTTACAATCGACTTTTGCTAAAAATTTATTTGAAGTAATTTTTTTAGTACAAAAATTTTTAATTCAAAAAAATTTTAAACTAAAAAATCTATTTTAAATAACATTAAGAAAAATCATCCCAAATGAAACTTAAATGTGATCCCATCCAGCAAAACATATGGCTCATTCAAAGCAAGTGAAATTCAGCACTAAGGTGCGCGAAAATTATTACTAACAAAAGATATATTTATCCCCTATAAGATGAGTAATATAACAATTAATTCATTAATCATAAAAAATTTTCAACAACTAAAAAACTCATCTTGATGAAATTCAAATGACAAAATTTCTCCATAAGAAAGAAGAGCATCATAATACAATTTTGACCAAGATGGACTTTGAAATGATTCAATTTACAATAAAATTGATGTTCTACAAATCAAGACTTGGTGCTCTACTTATCTCAAATAAATCCAACAAAAATTCCAAAGTCCTCATGATCAAAAAAAAAAACCAAAATATCCTGATCAAATTTCATCCAAATGAAAAGCATTATAAAGATTAGCATTTGCAGCATTTTGGCTGTATTTTTTTCAGAAATGAAAGCATAACTAATTACATGAATGATGAAATAAAATGCATCATGAACCAAGAAAGAAAGCTTGGCACCCCCCAACTTTTTAGAAATTTTAAGATAAAATGTACACAGAAGATCCCATCCCTCTCTCTCTCAATTGCAAGACTGGTCACTATAAAAAAAGAACAAGAAATAGATATATCATATAATCAATCATACTAAACGTCTACAATATATAATCGACCTTATTCACTTTTTTATACCTGGAACTGCAAGGAAGATCCACCACAAGAAGGAAGATGAAGATGAAGATGAAGATGAATAGCTCCATCATTCATGTTTAAGAAGGGAGCCATTGAGATATAAAAAAGGAAAAGTGAGCTTAGGATGTTAAAGTATAACAAAGTGAGAAAGTTCAATCTTCAGTGCCATGAAGCCAAATGTTTGTAACCAAAACTGTAGGGCTCCCAGCCAGAGTCAGGTTCCTTCCTCTTCAAGGGATTTCCATTAATCTGTTCTTCCATCAAACTAGGATGCGCAGGCATTAATGGATGCTTCATGTTCCCCATTTCAGCAGTTCCAGTCTCCATCTGCATTATACCAAAGTTCAAATCTAAACCTGGCTGAGACGACCCGCCGCCATTAGAGCTTGAAGGGGTGTTTGTTATGTTCATTAAGTAAGGTAGTGTTGCTAATGGTGTACCATTTGCTCCAGCTGCGCTCAGTAACTGGGGGACAACAGTAGCCCCTCTAGAATCAACCATGTGTGGGATATTTCCAATACTGTATAGTGCTGGTTGGAAAGGTAAGGCCATTCCTGTACCAGGTGCAAAATAGCCATAGCTTGGGTGCGGGATTTGATGCGGATAAGGTAGCATAGGCCCGTTCGGAAAGGTCGAATCAAAACTTAATCCGTTTCCTATATAGGACTGATGTGTTTGATTGGTGTCAGGTCTCCTCTCCACAGACATTCTTGAGCCCATGATGGTGATTACTGGATCATCAGTTTTAACTGTATTTGGTTTAGCAGGAGCCTTGGATAGGTTGATATTTTTGGAAACAGCAGCATCAGATGAAAACAGATTGTCATTCAGGTCAAAGTTTTTGCGTGGAGTATGTCTTTGCGATGCTGATGATGCCGGAGATGATGAGCTTTGGCCTCCGTTCAGAAAATGATGCTTTATAAGTGGTGACTGAGATGGTGTTGCTTCATCTTCTCCATAACTGTTAAGGTCTAGTTTTATCTTCTCTGTTCGCAGTGAACTAACTTCTGAGGATGAGTTCCATGAAGGCATACCAGAGGAAACAGGCACCTCTTTTAATGAAGCAGCGTCCACAGGTAAATAATTCTCACAGTCTGTCACATTTAAATCTAGTTCGATCAAATTTGATTTATACTTTGAGCCTGACTCTGACTTTTCAACATCGAAAGCCCTTCGAGGAGATGCAGGTCGAAAAGCGCTTGTAGCAGCAGAACCTCTCCAACCCAATCCACCTTCAAAACATAGCGGGGTGGTCGGAAATAAAGGAGCTCCTTTTGAAGCAGAAACAGCTATTGGTGCAGATAAGTTGACTAAATTACTTGGGTGAACAGGATTCACTGCACAATCAATATCTTCAGTGAAGGCATCCTCATTTAGATCGAAGTCAAATTTGCCCATTTCAGCCCCAGCTTTAGAGCCCTGAAAAACTGCTGCTCCATTTTGGGATTCCAAAATTTGCTCCTGTTTTGAAGGATCTGTAGCCAATTCTACGAGCATCTGATTATCATCTTTTGGAGAAGAGACAACATCACATACCTCGTTAATAGGAACTAATTCATTCCCATTGGCTTCACCAAGTATAGGGTGGCCCTGCTTGCCTTCGTCAATACTAGGGCTTCCAGTATTCATAACCTCATTTGAGCTCGCCTCCGGAGAAGAGCTACATAATTCCTCTCTGTAATCAACAACTTCTCTTTCAACTTCGATTGCGACCAGCCGAGCAATTTCTAATGCATCCATCTCTCCTGATTCAGGTTCTGAATCTGAACTCTTCTCCATTTCTCGACTTACCTGATCTTTTAAAGCTTTAGAAGGATTATCATACATCAATGTATCGACTCCTTCGCATGTATTCAAATTGGGCTCATTGCTGTCATCAATATCACCGGTATTTTCTGAAGCTTCTTTTCTACATGAGCTTCCCTTACTTGAACCTAGGATGTCTGTGGAATCATGCTCACCTGATTTAACCTGCTTCATTGTTTTCAAATATTCTGGCCATGCCCCATCTACACTGGCACACCTATGGAGGGTTTCCTTAGCATCTGATAAAGTTGATTTTCCCTCGTTTAGTGTTAAATTGCATGATGCACTGCGAACAACTTTAGAATTTTTTGTATCTGAAGTCACAGATAAATCAGAAGATGACAAAACACTAGAAGTCTCTCGAAACTCCCGTGAGTCACCTCTCCCCCTGTTCTCCTCTTCCTTGACATCATTCGTTGCTGAAGCGTTGCATGGATCATCATCTTTGACCTGAATCTCAGGAGATGCAGTTGCAGTGGAAAATACAATTCCTGCTTTAGGAATAAAATTTCCTTCTTGAACAGAAAAATTCTCTTGACCAGAATCAGAGACTAAGGTAGTTGGGGGCAACGTGTGATGTTCATTTTCAATGGAAGATAACACTGGCAAGGTTTGACTAGGAGTTGAACATTTTACATCATCTGCATTCCCTGACTGGTGATCATTGTCACTTGTTACTAATAGGTTTTGAATTCTACCTGAACCAACTTTGCAGCTCCCTTCATCACATGTTTGGGCAAAAGAATTGTCAACAACTTCTTCCACAGTATGTTTGACCTCAATGGAGGGTATATCACTAGAAGTTTTGAAATTACCAACAGTATGCGAACCGTCTTTCTCTATCTCTTGGCAACCGTTATCATTAGCCGTTCTGTTATTCCACTTGTCAAATAGCATTCGAGCTCTTTCCTTGATATTGGCATTTGTATGGCCAAAAAGCTTCTCAACAGTTGTGAATATTCCAGATGACCTTAACTTTTCAGGGTTCATAGGGAGCTTGTCAAGTGATCCTATTAATGTATTAATCAATTCTTCACCATCAGCAACATCTTTGCTGCATTTATCAGCTTCCTGCAGCCAATGATTGAGAAAGCCTAACCCATTTAAATGAACAAAGAGACTAAGGCATTCCTTATTTTGTGTGGAAGCTAGAGTCCTCGCAGCAGTTGACCATTGCCTTGCTGCATCGCCCACATTATTCGTAACACAACTCAGTTTTTGCATCACACATATTAGCTCTTCAACTCTTGCACAAGTTGTGAGACCATTTTTCATTTCGGTAAGAGTGAAGAAATCTTCAAGTGTCATATTGCTAAAACACAGGATAATAAGCTCTTCTAACTATATCATGCTTACAAGATAGGTTTGCCCTCTTTAGCTGTTCCAGGAAACCATGTCGTAAAGATCTGTGATGAAGTATATATGGAAGTTTTCTGCAACGTACAACAGAAATGACCATCCAATCAATCATATTTATCCAACCAACGATCATAAAAAGAAGATGAAATAACAAAATGATGATTTAGCATAATTAGCAATATAAATGATGATGCAATTTAACATCACAAAGCATTCTCCCCAGAAAACCATTGATTTTATGAATTAAAAACACTCCAGCCTCTCTTTCACTAAGAAAACGCAGTTCTTTTCTTTGTTTGAAGGATTGCGCAAAAGATTCTGCAGGGCTGTCAATCGGAAAGGTCCAATCATCCCCAAGGACTGATCCATAATGGGCTTAACTGGCCTCTATTAAGTCCGTCAGGCATAATAGCTCACTTATTTAGGAATAAATTGACTTCAGTCTATTTCCAACTTGTTTCGACCATTACAACCAACCACTAAATTTTGCAATACTTTCACATAAAAATTCATTTGCACCTCTCTTAAAACTCAAATAGTATCACCAAAAAAAAAAAAATTTAAGTTGGAAGACAGTTACAGGTCAAAACTTTGTAAGATAATTTGCAAAAGCAAGCTCATAAGTCAAATCTACATGTTTAGGCACTGATATGAGAGATGTTGGATTGTTGTAATAAGATACAGAAAATTAGATTTAGGTTGAATTAACATATATAACATAGGATATAGCATGCACTACTAAATTTTTAAATGAATTTAATGTGAAAAAAAAAAAGAAAATAACTTTTAAAATAACATGACAATAAAAATATTAAAGAAGAACTGCACGATATAAAATTAACTCATCATACAATATTCAACGAATTTTCATCATGAAGATCGAAAGATTTGTAAAATTAAATCTAAATAATTGGAATAAGGATAACAATTAATAAGTTAAATTCCAACTTTTAGATGTATGTTAATCATCTCAGATGTTGAGCTCAAGCACAATATCAGAAACCAAAAAGTAATCCATTCAATAATTGCATATTCAGTCAAAAAAATAAGCTTGTAAAACGACAAGATCGTATTAAAGGAGTATACTCATCAGAAATAAAAATATGAAAACTCCAAAACTAAGAAGTCTACTTATCAAAAAATCTGCCACCATAGCATTTCCTGTCTTCAACAAGTTTGGCATTGCCATAAAAATCTGCTATAACAACGATGAAGAGCTATGACATTCTTTTTGCTGGTGACAATGAACGCCTACTTTCTCCCAATAGCATACGATGGAGTAAGATAGAGGACTCAAAGATCAGATTTAGGCCAACTATGAGAAGACCGTGAAGAACTTTTTAGCCTGACACTGAGAAAACAGTGAAGAACAAAGACTGAAAGATGGTTTTCAACTTGACAAGGATGAAAAACGCTGGTGTAGTGGATTGATTTCTTCAATCACTTGCAGGCATATCTATAGAAAAAGATCTTAGAATCAATTAGTCAAATTAGTGCCCTAGGCTAGATAAGAGTTGAAATGGAGTCTCCAATAACTAAATGTGACAGAAGTTATTGGGACCAATCCGGGCTTCTATGGGTTGACCCAGAAGCATTATATACACCGATTACATCCCATATTTATTTGGGTTGGGTTGACACAAAAAGCATAATATTTGATTTATTTAAATTCAAGCCACATATCAAGGCCGAGCCAACCCATTTGACAGCTCTAATTAAGAATATAAAAAGTAAGCAACTAAAAAGAGTTCTCAGAAACCCATGATCACCTAGCTTAACTACTTGTAACATAAAATTCAACCATCCACCATCAGGTATGCATGTGTGTTGTTGTTGTTGGGGGTGGGGGCATTTTTCTTCTTTAACCAAACTATTTTATATTGATCATCATGTGTATCAATAAGAAAAGCACAAGAAGACTATTTTTAAAATTACTTGACCATAAAAATATCTCTTCATAAAATCAACAAGAAATGTAGTCATCGGTGTCAACAATGTTTTGACCCATAAAATCACAAGATTATATTCATCCTAATTAGTAAACGACGGCTTCCTTTCCAGGATTGATGATGCTCTACCCCGAACAAAATGTAGATAGCAGAAGGTAAACTCAAGCTACCTCAAATATAGTCCTTTTGATTGTTTAGGGATTTAGATAATCACTTGATAATCTTTAAACATCGCAACCCATGCCTCTTGTATGCATTATACAATGAATGGTATCATTACTAATTCATGCCCAACAGAAGGCAATCAACTATGACCCCAATATATTGCTAGAACTCTGCAAAATAAAATAACATACTCAAAATCCTTGCAATGAATCTTAAGAAATCAATCCTATCTTCTTATTTATTCCATAAAGGCCTAATGAATGTTTTCATAATTTCAGAAATAAGCCGCTTAAAATGATTGTCATTTAATAACTTAAGTACTGGCACATGACAAAAAAAAACAAAAAACAGAAAATGTAAGTCAAATCATATATGAAATAAAGGCAAAAGCTCAGCTGAGCCACAACAAGTGTCACCACCGATACAATTACCAACTTTGTTAAGGCTCCCGCACAGTTAAGCTCCGGTTATATATAAGACAGAAAAACAAACAAAAGGAATGTGGTCAAGCTTTGAGCAGGTTTTAAGTACGATGGATTGCATAAGTAACAGGTCACATCCCTCAACATTACTCTTTTAACTTTTTTTATTCCATTCTTCAATAATCCCATCAAAATGAGGACAAGAGGCTAAACTAATTCCTATAGTCTTTCTATGCAACCCGTTGCAATCAAGCCGATGAAGTTAGATATGAGATAATAACAATGGCATATGTCTTCCTCCACTAACTTTTTCTAGTAAGCTTTAAAGGTTATATAACCCAATTGCAAAGAAAAGAATGTTAAATAAGAAAGCAGCTGAAATTATTATATATTGCCTGCTAAAACTTCCAGATAGTTTTTTTTTTTTTTCCTTTAGGATGTAGCATAAGATAACATTGAAAGAATCACTAAAATGAATCTAATACCAGTTAGTGTTGAGTTTACAGTTTAACCATGGGATGCCATGTTGAAAAATCAGGACAGCTTTAATCCTAATCATCTTAAAATGAATTATAGTAACAATGTGCTCAAGTACCTTATATATAATATAAACTGCACTTAGCTCAGCAGGTATGACCCAATCACCAGCCAATATTGGAGCTTTCTAGATTAAACTAGTCAAGTGGCAGGTCTTGCATTTGAAGCCGCATAAAGTTTAGTTGGCCTCAGTTTAAACAGGAATGAGTCTTTAGCAGCATAATAGAATAATTCCTCAGTGTAATCAATAAACCTCATAATCAAGTAAAGTAATAGAAAATAAAAGATTGAGAACTGGCATTTCGATCTGCTATCTGATGGAATTTTGCATGGTCATAACCTCCTACATTTCTAGTACACAGGGAACGGGCCACCGGAGAAGGAGGGGGGCAGACCGAGACATGGGTATTGGGTCATTAGAGGCGGATGGATGAAAGGTGGGATTCCCCCCTCCATACACAGGGGGAATCCCTGGAAGGATTTGGAGCTTGTTTATCGAAAACATCCCATGAAGAAGGGTGGAATTCCCACCCCCATTCATCGAGGAAGAAAGGATTTGGAGCTTCTTTATCGATTTATTAGATTCCCTTGGTCGAATCCATCCCTCCAAATCGTTTGTTTATCGATTTGGAGGGATGGAGAAAATGATGAGGAAGCTCATTGAGATGCAATCCAAAAAGGAGGCTAGAACTCCATCCCTCCAAACCACTTATTTATTAATGGCTCTCTCTCTCTCTCTCTCTCTCTCTCTCTCTCTCTCTCTCTCTCTCTCTCCCTCCCTCTTGGCCATTAATAAACAGAAACATCGACGTGATGTTCTATTAAAATAAGCAAAGAAAATAAGTCGAAGAACAATTCATAGCTTAGCTCCTTTTGCAAGCTAAGCTATCAACTGTTCTTCGGCTTATTTTCTTTGCTTATTGTAATAGAAAATCACGTCGATGCTTCTGTTTATTAATGGCCAAGAGGGAGAGAGAGAGAGAGAGACACTATTTGTGTTTAAAGGGGGGAGAGGAGAAGAGGTGAGATTTTTTCTAGAAGAGAAGAGTTGTTTCTCCGGGTCTTTAATTTCTTACCATTAATTTGTCATCTTCTCTTCTTCTTCCTTTTCATCTAATGGAAGAGAAAGAGGAGAAGAGGCGGTGGGAGAGAAGTTGAGTGGATAATTCTTTTCTTCTTCTTTGCTTAAGATTTAAGAGAGAGAAAAGAGATAGAAAGAGAAAGAGAGAGTAGGGATAGAGAGAAAGAGAAAGAGATAGTAGATATAGAGAGAGATGGCGAGTGGAGGGAGTAGTCCGCAATATAATAGGTCAAGGTTTGGGGGCACGACTTTGACGAAGGTGTTTGTGGGAGGATTGGCATGGGAGACGCAAACGGAGGAGCTTCGGCAATACTTTGAGTAGTTTGACGAGATTTTGGAGGCAATTATTATAACCAATAAGAATACAGGAAAATCAAATTGCAACATATTTTTATGTTAATATTTTTTCAACTCTCTTTCTATCTCTAGCTTATATCACATATAATATGTATTTCCTCAGTAACAAATTAACGTTGGCCTCAGTTTAAAATAGGAATGATTCCAAACCAATTGATGAAACTCTACAATGAATAATTTTACCTGGGAAGCAGCCCTTAAATCCTAATAAGCATGTGAATATTGAATTAACCATTATTATATTATAATAGAATTCATAGTTGTTCAACTGACATGTAAAATAGGATTTTCTTCTTCTCATTTGATTAAACTTCAAAAGATCCATCAAATCCTCGAATGTATCATTTGAACATCGAATGATGATGAAAACCAAATTCTATTCTTTGCAAACTTCAATTGGAATGGAATCATAGCAACCCCTTGATTCATCATAAACCATTTATTTAAAACATTGTATGCCATAAATGGTAAATAGATTGTCCTAATTCTGATACTGTGTCATGCATAGGGTAAGATTAAACAAGAGGTCAGCAGAGATTTTAAATTCTTCCATCTCCTAATTATCCTAATATTCACCCATGAAATTCTTATCTATTTGCTCCTCTTTATCTCTGCCCGTAGTTTTATCTCTCTATCTGCCAAACAATATGATCCAACTTTTCATGAAACCAATAACACGTACGATAAGTACAAAATTTATCATAAGGATTATTCAGAAAAAATATGAATACTTTACAGGCTGATGAACTCCTAAGTCCCAATCAACAACTACAAAAAATAAATACTTTACTTTTCAGCTTTCCATATCATTCAAAGAATATGTGCCAAATATCCCTCAAACAGTCAAATCGTCCCAAATAGCAACTCGACTCTATTTCTTTCAGCAAATAGAGAATACCACAAACAGATGAAGACAAATACCGATGGTTACTAACTACGCGCCTTAATATTTCAGCAAAATCCTCCTCTTCTAACAGGTAATGAGAACAGAACGAAAAAAAACTGAAACCAAATTTAGCACCAATCAGACCATCAGTGCTGACAAAAGTGCTCCGCATCGCACATCTACAATGAATCATGATGACAAAAAACCATAACTCAAAGATCGAATCAATTCCTCCAAAAACTCCGAGCACCGATATCTACCCCACCCGCCGTCCACGGCGCCACATAAAAGCAAAAGCAAATTAATACAAGCAATAAAACATTAACATCCAACATCCTCAACCCAAAACTCGCGAAAGAGGACGAAATCAAACACAAATTCGAAGACGGGATCATGGAAATACCTTAATGGTAAAAGCCCTAGACGTCACCGGACATCAACTGTTGATCCCGCACATCCTCATAATCTCCATACCAACTTCCTCTTCATTCCTTATTTCTCTCTCAAACCCTCTCCGTCACTTCAGCCAAACCCTAGCTTCCCCTGTAAAAAAGCTCTGCTTCACCTTCGCCCTCTCTCTCTCTCTCCTCTCTCCTCTCTCCTCTTCTCTCCTTCTGTCGCTGTTCCCTGTTCTTTTCCCCTTTCATCCTTTTTTTATCATTTTCAGCAGTGATAAAATAATAATATGATGGGAAAATAAAAAGGAAGCTGGTCCCGCCAGATCACGTGGATGCCGCGTGAGGAAATGACGTGGCTGAGATGGGCCCACAGGAGGAACGGTAGCTGTTGTGGGCCAACCTACATCGGACAAGTGACAATAAAGAAGCGTTAAGAAAAAATTCCTTCGAAAAAATTTTAATTTTCTATTAAAAAAAATAGAGCGATTTTCCTCCGTCGATCTCATAGGAGATTAATATGATGGGAAAATAAAAAGGAAGCTGGTCCCGCCAGATCACGTGGATGCCGCGTGAGGAAATGACGTGGCTGAGATGGGCCCACAGGAGGAACGGTAGCTGTTGTGGGCCAACCTACATCGGACAAGTGACAATAAAGAAGCGTTAAGAAAAAATTCCTTCGAAAGAATTTTAATTTTCTATTAAAAAAAGGAGCGATTTTCCTCCGTTCATCCTATTGGAGATTTGGTCATTTTATAGTAAGTAGTTATTATCTTATTTCTAATTTTAATAATTTGATATTTTTGATTTTTTTTTTATTAAATTCATATTTTTGTTGCCGAAAAAATGAGAATAATTTTACATTATGATAAATGTTATCAATATGAGTATTTTGACATAAATATATTGAATTTTCATTCAGTATTTTTATAGTTTGGGGGAAATATACTAATTTGAATAAATTTAGAAATTTGAATAATAATTCTTAAAATTATGTTATATGTTTATATGATATGAATAATTGTTATAATTTAGCCATTATGAATAAATACATGTGAAAAAGAGTACACTGACATTTCTTATAAATTTCACTAATTTTGGTTCATATGTAAATTTTGCATGCATTAAGATATAATGAACTAAACATTTAGTATATTATTATATGTGTATTTTGTTATATATAATGTGAAATGTGTATATATATGATAGGGTAACCATATATGATTGACTGATTCAGATTTGTTGGAGATATATTTTCTTGTATAGAAGGGTCGGCCACTGGGCTTATCTTTAAAATAATAATATAAGAAGGGAGAGATAAGGAGATAGATTGATATGATATGATATGCAGACATGTAGGAAGTGATTACTTCTGATATGAAAGCCACCTTACTTAAAGGACTTATGATTAAGACTAATCCCTATAGGATTGGCTTACATGACTGGATACAAAAAAAATCACCTCATATAGCTTGATGCCTTTTCTTTCTTACAGTACTTGTATATGCACTTGATATGAATATATATGATAAATTGCATATAAGCTATGGCGGATACAAGTACTTGATAAAATTGATAGAATTGATACAAAGATATTTGATATATATATATACAAATTTCAAGAACAAAAATAGATATAACTATTCTTAACAAATGGGTATATAAATAATAGAGTTTATTGACCTTTTATATATGTTCAGTTGGTTACTAATCACTGTTCTAGTTGTATTGATGTTTATTGATCATATAATATGTTACTATTTCATTGATTTTTACATGATTTATAGTTATATATTCATATTGATAACAATTGAATGATTACATGCATATTATTCATATTGTCTTGTATTGATTTCAGTTGTAAGTTTTTGTAAGCTACTAAGCTATCAGTTCACTCTGTGGTTTTACATATTTTTCAGGAATGGGTCACTCATCAGGATCCAGTAGAGTGAGGACATATCTGAGATTCAAGTTTATTTTATTTCTGCATTTCCCCTAGTTTTATTATTTTATAGTGATAGACAGGTAAATGAATGAATTGAACTCTTAATTATTATATATGAATTTTGAAGAATGAATATAGTTTTATATTTTGATGGATATAATTTGTAAGTGCTTTCAGTAAATTGATTCATATTGGTAGATTCGAAGAATCTCTGGTTGGTTAATGAAGATATTAAAATAGACAATTCTTCCAAAAATTAATCTTGGTGCATTACAATCTATTTGTTCCTCTTTGTCTGTGCCCGTAATTTTTTCTCTCCATTCACCACACAACCATATCCAACTTTTCATGAATGAAGAAGAAGTTGGTATAGAGAGTATAAGGATGTGTGGGATCTCTAGTTGATGGTCAGTGATGTCTAGGGCTTTTACCATTTATAAGTATTTCCATGATTCCATCTTCAATTTTTTGTTTGATTTTATCCTCTTTCACGAGTTTTGGGTTGAGGGTGTTGGACATTGATGTTTAATGCTTGTATTAATTTGCTTTTGCTTTTATTTTTGGCATGGTGGATGGCAAGTGGGGTAGATATGGGTGCTCCAAGTTTTTAGAGGAATTGATTTGATCTTTGAGTTATGATTTTCTATCATGATCATGATTCATTATAAATATACGACGCAGAGCACTTTTATCAGCACTGATAGTCTGATTGGTGCTAAATTTGGTTTGAATTTGTGGTTGCAAGATATTGATTATGCCAATAGGAGTTTGTCTTAAGGAAAATAATTTGGATGGCAGGTGATAGATAGACTTCTAAGGTTAGGTAGCGTATTAGACCTAATAATCAGATAATTTAGATTCGATTGATCGAGGATCAAGTAGGGAGGGTCATATTAGTTGCATGAATGACTTGTTTGGTGTCATGCCCCAAGATTTAAATTTGAAAGAATTGCACGTCTCTCTATCCTTTCAAATAACACATCAATAATTAGAGCTGACCAATTGCATTCATGAAATATAAACAATGAAAATAAGGCGTTTATATAGTTAATAACTTAATATTTATTTCTTGATTCAAAGTCTAAAATAACATATATAATAACTATGATATGCAACTAAGAATAGCATATTACTATAATTACATCAAACTATAAAAGAAAACATAAGTCATATACAGTCAGTGTTGATATCTTCAAATACTAATCATAAGTTCTATCACATGTAGTTCCATTCCAACTTACTTTTATTAATTAATAGAGAAAGATAATTTGAAGGAAAATAACTATTCTCCTTAATTTTTTAGTATAAGTGTTATACAATATTTATAGATGCAAAATAGTGAAGAAAAAGGAAAATGAATTAGCACTTGTAATGAATGTTAATTAAATACATATAACATAAATGAAAGGAAATCAAAAGGAAAGTGAATTAATATCGATAATGAATGTCAATTTAATACATAAACTAAATGAAAAAAAATTAAAAGGAAAGTAAATTAATAGTTGTAATGAATGTTAATTTAATACACACACCAAAAGAAAGAAATAAAAAAATAAGTGAATAATTTATTTGTTTAATTTCTCCAATATGCCCCCTTAAGAAGAAGTCATGTGAGATGGCACCAATCTTGACAAGTAGGTTGTCAAGTCGATGACGAGAAAGAGGCTAGGTAAGAGCATCAACAAACTAATCATTAGATCATATATGAAGACACGAATGTCACCTTTTACGCTTTTTCTTGAACGAAGTGGAAGTCAATAGCGATGTGTTTCATACATGAATGAAAATTTGGATTTGCATGTAAGTAGATTACATCGATATTATCACAATAGACTGTTGGTATGGTATGTAAAGAGACGTGAAGCTTAAGAAGTAAAGATCTTAACAATGATATAAATAATTATATGGTATTCTATTTTGGTGGATGAGCGAGCAATAGTACCTTGTTTCTTGGAGCACCAAGAGATGTCATTGTGACCAAAAAGGAATGTGAGCACCTATAAAAGTTCGATCCACAAGCACTTATAAAAGTTCGATCCACAATATTTCTAGCCCAATGAGAGGAATGTGAGCACCTATAAAAGTTCGATCCACAAGCACTTATAAAAGTTCGATCCACAATATTTCTAGCCCATGAAGGGAGAGTGGTACGATGAAGAAATATACCTTGATGAATAATGGATTGAAGGCATCGAAGAATTCATTTAGCTGCACTCCAAAGAATTGTGGTTGAGCAATGCATGAATTATGAGAGTTATATAATGCAATTCTTGGCCGAGAGAGAGAGAGAGAGAGAGAGAGAGAGAGAGAGAGATACTAGAGATCGCCAACCAGTGAGTGATACTCCCTTCGTGGCATCGGTGAGAAATATGACATCAAGTATGGTTGGCGTGTGGGTGGGAAACATGGGCGTGTGAACGTCATTTGCATTTTTCATAATTTTCTATTATAAAATATCTTGAATATATTTGTGTTGGGATAAGAAAAGACCTTTTGTGAAGGATATGATTTCGCCACCGAGAAAATATAAGAGATATCCAAGTTCTTTGATGGATAATTTTATTGAAAGTAAGTTGGTTACCTATTTAAGAAGAGAATTGCAACTACATGTTAGAATGATGTCGTCCACATATATCATGAGATATAGTGTTAGGCATGATTTTGAGTAAATAAACAACGGTGTGTCTGATTTTGAATTAAAAAAGTCAATATACGTAACAACCTAAAAATATAAAAATTATTTAAAAATTAAAAAAAAAAATTAAAATTATGAAATTTCTGAGCTTGGCTTTGTGGCAATGGGTCCTTTGATGCCAGGGTGTCGTAGTCTTGAAAAAAATTGAAATTAATTAAGTGCAGTCGCTAAAATAAATTTATATATATAATTAAATCTAAATCTTCCGCTCACTCCTTCCTCCCTTGCCTCATGTTGTGGTTTACCGTAGAAGGAAAGAAGAGAAGGGGAAGAAGGAACTAGGAGAGAGGGAAGAGAAATCTAGCTTTTTATGGTCGGTTAGCTTCGTTTCTTTTAACAAAAACTGTTCAAATCATTGTAGGTGACTCTTATCTTATTTCTGTATTTAAATATTTTGAGTTCTACTGCTTGATTCTTCCAAAAACGATTTATGGTATTTTCTCTGAATTTCATGAACTTCCATTGTACAACTTTTGGTATACAGTAGTACTAATTATTCTAAACATTTTTGTTGATTGATTTGCAATTTTACATGTTAAAAGTGTAGTTATTGCTTTTTGTATGATTTAATAAGAACAATAGTTTTGATATTTTAATATGATTCTAATATTATTTCAGGCATAGTGAATCAATGTTAGTATATGATTGGGTGATAGCTGATCACTGTTGCTTATATAATATTGAATAACAATGCGAATGAAAACAAATAAAGGTTGGTTACTCACTGACAGTGACTAGAGACTGACTCATTAGCCTATACAGGATAGTGGGCCGATAAACTTTTCTTTAAATAATATGGTTGGGTATTATCTTCTACTGATTCATGTGATTCACTGATTAAGAGTTATAAAAAGATGGTTATTATGTCAATAGGCAAAGAGTTACAACTATGTTTACTAAGCCAACAATAACGAATTTAATGATGTACTAATTACTATTAAAATAGAGCACAAGCTATAGCTTTTTATTTATTTAGTGTGATTATTGGGATGCATTACTGATTTACTATCATTATACTAATTTATTGTTAATATGCTATTTTATTATTACTCATATAGGTTTAACTAATAATATTTATCCGCTATTATTGTTATTGGTGTACTGCCACTAGTTCACTTTTACTGTCACTGCTATTAATTTACTGCTTATTGACTTACGATTACTAAGCACATGATTATTCTTACTGAGCATGTGATATAGTTACTAAGCATGAGATATAAGATATTTATTTGATATTAATATTGAATAATTGAATATCTTATGTATACTCTTATATAATCCACTAATAGTATTGCATTGTTATATTCCAACAATTTTCGTAGACACTTCTATTTTATTGATTTATGTGATTCTTTTATTTACCGGATAACACTATTATGACGTAGGATTTAAGAATGATTATTTTCTACTTTATTGTTCGACATCTATACTTGTTTACTATTTTATAGATTTTATTGCTATTGCATGAGTTTTGTTGGTTTACTATTTTATAGATTTTATTGCTATTGCATGAGTTTTATTGTTTATGTACATATTCATGATCAAATGAATTCTTATTGTTATAAATTGAATAATTACATGCATATTATTTCCTTATGGTGTTTTGAGTTCAATTATAAAATTATAGTTAACTACTAATAATTTTAGCTCATTATATGTGGTTTAAATAATTTTTAGATCAGAAAAGAGGATTGGGAGTGTGAGACTGATCAATTATAAAATTCCTCAAGTTTTACTATTAGTTTATTTCTTTTTATTTTTATATATTTTTTTGTAGTTAGAAGTCGGTAGATGGTGTATTGAATTTGTACAACTCCCTAGCTATTATACATGATTTTTAGATAGTAATTCCTGATGTACATTGATGTTTTTATCTACATATTTTTTATGTTGATATTTATATTATTTAAAGAAATTAGATAGCTCTAGTTGTTATATAAAAGATAAAATGTACATTTTTTTCAATTTAGATTATGTGGTGTCATAATAGATATGAGAAAAGAGTGAAGTTGTTGGCACCAACACAGGGCAGTTGTTTGAGACCAAATATAGTACTTTGTAGGCGGCACACATAAGTGGGGTTATTGGGATTATGAAAGCCTGATGGTTGGCATATGTAGATGTCCTCAATGAGATGACCATGAAAGAAGACACTGCTGACATCAAGCTATTTGATTAGCCATCCTTTAGAGAGAGCAAGGCTGAGAATGAGCTGAATTATTGCAAGTTTGACTATGGGGCTGAATGTTTCGTGACAGTCAATATCAAGGCATTGGTGGAACCCATTTGCCACAAGATGTGCTTTGTAACGATTAATGAAGCTATCAGGATTATGTTTGATGTGAAACACACACTTGCAACTAATAAGATTATGAGGAAGTGTAGGCAGAACGGGGTTCCAAGAATGATTACAAAGGAGCATGTTGAATTCTTCAGACATGGCAGCAGGCAATTCATGATGTTGCATGGCTTGAGTGGTCGATGTTGGTTCATGGTTTGAAGAGGATGAACGATATGCTCTAAGGTTAAGTTTAGTGAGAGGTTTTTAAATGATATTTTTGGCTTGATTTTACATGTGATGTTTGTTGTGGGAGGAGAGGGTTTACTGAGGTGGAGGTAGTGATAAGTTTGTGGGAATTGAGGGAATATTATCGGTCAAACTGTTATTTTAATTTGAAATTGATAAGTTGGTATGATGATTTTTGGTGAGGGCTGCAATGAAGTTTTTGGATGTCAAAATTGATAACCGAGGAAAGAGATGTAGGAGAATTTATGCTCATTATAATTGGGGATAGTTAGGGTTGGTGTGAGGGGGAAATGAGGAAGGAATAATAACATTTTTATTTATAGCCATCATATGACAAAATAGAAGAAATTCATACATCTAAGTAGCTCAAACAGATATGAATTAGTAAGATATGAAGATGTGAAAGATAGCTTATGAGCTTTACTGCAATAGCATGAATTGCGCACAAATTTTAATATATTTAAATCAGATAAAGATATATTATAGTGAAAGATTAAAAAATAATATTAAATCTTAATTAATGGATAGCTAAGATGATGATATCATAGATCACTATAAATTTTTGTTGTTGATAAGACAAACATTAGTAAATTTTTGTTTGATGATTGATTGGGGCCACATATAAACATCATTTTTTAATTGTACCTTCCACCACTATTCAATTAGCCAATAGGGCTTTACTCTAAACCCTACAACAAATCACGCTTAGTAACCGAAGTTTTCTTACCTCATTGGTCGACAAGTAATTGGAAATATGGAAAGAACAAAGACTATATTTTTTTTCTCCCTTCCATGGCCAAAATATTTACTTCCGATCGAAATATCAGCTTCCACTAAGCATGATTGAATCATAGGTGTTAGGCTTTTACTGGATTGCGCGAAAGCTCTTGTTTTGTTCTATAGCGCGCGACTAAGGTTTGTCATCTCGTTCCTTCATTCGCTTGGGAGTTTTGTTTGGGGCAAAAGGTCTTTCCTTTGCTCTTCGTCGCCCATTGTTTTTACGCTCAAGTGTCATCCTACCCTCTGTTTATCTGGAATCTAATCATTCTTCTCAGAAACAGTTCAGATCCAATTCCAAAAAGCTATCTTGCAGAAGTAGCGCGTTAGGGTTTTAGGTGATTACAAGACGAGTTAAATTAATGGTAGCTGAAGCTTGGAGTTGGGAGGAGGAGAAGGCGTTTGAGAACGCCGTGGCTATCTACTGTGAAACTTGCAGTGATTGGTTGGAGAAGATTGCTTCTGCTGTGCCTGGAAAGACCTTGGAGGAGGTCAAAGCCCACCATGAGATTCTAGTTGAAGATGTTGCTAGTATAGAAGCAGGCCGGGTGCCTCTGCCTAATTATGCTTCTTCTTCTGCTGCTGTTGCTGCAGCTGCTAATGCTGAGGACTCAACTGATGTTGGAGAACATGGGAAGAAAGGTGGGGCTTCTCATGGCGATTCAGCTAAAAAAGGAAAAGGGTCATTATTTGACCTTGAACGGCGCAAGGGAATTGCTTGGACTGAGGAAGAACACAGGTGAAATTTTATCTTCTGATTTCCTACCTTTTACCTTAAAGTAGACGTAGATGCTACTTGAGGTAGCTCTGGTCCTGGATTGAAAAGTTGCCTTTGATAAGTGGGAGAAATAATAAATAGTTAGTACCTGTAGGTCAATTTTATAGTACCATTGAACTATCTGGAAGCAATTGAGTGGATCCGTACATAAAAAGGAGTTAATTTTATAAGACTTCTGCTTGAGTGGTGATATTGGTAACTATATATGCTTTTAAAATGGGCTGCCTTTGCTATTAGTTTGTGGTTGGCTTCTTTAATTGAAGTAGACTTGAAACTAATAATGCATACTAAATGTCTTTTGCTTGAGCATTTTGTGTAGACCACAACCGTTGATATATTGCTGACATTGCTAATACAATTTTCTATATCTAGTAAATGGAAGCTAAGGACTTAGGGTGGATGAAGGCCAAATTTTAAATTAACTACTGTGTTTTATTTTATAGAAAGCTGGGTTTTAATGTTTTTGACATGTTTGAATGTTGAAAACCTTATAAGCTGTTGAAAGGAAAGGGAAAGGTGGGATTTTTTTAGTAGGGGAGCAAATAAATTATCGGCGGTTTGGACTTTGTTAGGATCTTACTTGAGAGGAAGAATCACTTCCTCTTCTTGAGCTTCTTGGGAGAGGAGGGAGAGCGGGAAGGGGAGAGGGAGAATACCACAATCAGAAATTTTATTGTTTAACCATACCTATTACAGCCTATAGAGCATCTATTTATAGACACAAAAGCTACAAAACAAGCTACACAAAAAAAAACCCTAATGGCAATACAAATCATTCAAGAATCTAAAGAAAGTACACATCCTACATCTAGGATCAATATCCAACAATAAGGTGAACAGGTGGGATTGATGTGGAAGGATTGGGAAAAAAATGGTACAGCAAAGGTAATATGATTGGAACTTTTGTATAAAGACTGTAAAATAGAATTAGCATTCTTGTAACACCTCAAAGTGATCGAATCAGTGGAGGAAGAGAATTGATAAAGGCTGCCCGAATAATTGGTAAATGGGTAATAGTGATGGTGGTGTCATAGTAAGATAAGGTAATATCTGTTTTGATTTGTGTTATTGTGGATGATTAAGCTGGTCAGGTTCCAGCAGAAAGGATTTCTCCTTGTAGTGACTTGTTGTTTTTCAAGCTTGTGTATTTCTTTCCTGAAAACTATTCAAATACAAAGCCGATAAAAGTCGAATATTCTTCCCTGTGAAGCTCCCATCATTCCTGATCTGCATTTTCTTACTGATTTATGGGCATTCATTAATCGAAGAGGATTTGTCCATGCAGGAGAAGAAACACGTTTTATATACTGGGCATATGGTAAATGCCTTTTACTAATAATGTTACTGATATCGTTATAATTGTATCTTGTATATAATTGTATACTCATAATAATTGTACATAATTTTCTTCTTTTTCAAATTTTGTCCTTTTATGTTAATGTAACATTCAAAAAATGTTTTTATCCCTCGGAAATGTCTCCCTTTTGGACTTTATGGCCTTAAGTGGGGCGGGAAGTGGTTAATGGAAACTCTTTACTTCTCTACTCAGCTCAGCCACCCCAATTTGTTTTTGGGCTTGACATTTTTAATCATTAGAAATAAACTTGCATACAAAATGGATAAAGCTGCAAGGAGAAGTTCATTTCATCATGATTACCTAATCTCAGCCGGTGGTCAGTAAGAGAAAATTTATGTTGTGCTATGAAAATTCTCGTTGGAGTAGCGCCCGTGGAAGATAAGATTAGAGAGAGTCGCCTTAGATGGTTTGGTCACATTAAACGGAGGCCTTTTGATGACCCGGTTAGGAAAGTTGAGGTATTAGATTTGTCTTATGTTAAGAAAGGTAGAGGTAGACCTAAAAAGACTTGGTTAGAAACTATTAGAAATGATCTTTCTTTATTAGATTTAAACGAGAATTTGACTTTTAACAGTACACAATAGAGAAAAAAGATTCATGTAGTCGACCCATGTAGTGAGACAAAAGCTTGATGTTGTTGTTGTTGTTGTTGTATGAAATTTTTCTAATTCCTTTTGTAGAGTTTTGTCAATTTTTCATGTGTGTTTGCTTATGATGGATTCAGCAACTTTTAGGAAGACAAACTCTTAGCAATTTCTAGAAAACATGACTCTCATGTGTGACTTTAATTATTGTTCTATCTCAATGAGTTGGGACTACCCTCTTTTGTTTTTCTCGACTTTTTTTAAGATTATATTGCTCATTTTGCTCTGAAGCTTCTTCTTAAAAATTCAGGGTATTTTTACATTCGAATAACACTGTAAGCTGTTGGAAACATCAAAGAGGACTGAATAAAGTATTTAAAATAAAGAATTAAATGTATTTATTCAATAAACAAAATGAAAGAATTATTGAATGAAGCTCTGCCTTTGATTCTCATGTGTAACACTGCAAATAGAATGCAAGCACATCACTAAAATGACTTTTAAGCTCTTCTTTGCTGCAAAATGCATCCAGTTACTGTACTTTTATTATATTTGAAACACCATCGCATGGCTTACACGTGCAATCATGTATTTATAAGGCTCTTATCATAATTGTATAATTAGATTGATTAGATTAAAAATTGTATCCAGTTCTACTCTGCTGCATCATTAAGCTTAGAACTGTTCATTCAACCTCACAAGGAAAAGATATTTGATGAAAACAGGCTATTCCTTCTTGGGCTGGAGAAATATGGTAAAGGAGACTGGAGAAGCATATCAAGAAACTTTGTCATCTCCAGAACACCCACTCAGGTGGCAAGTCATGCACAAAAGTACTTCATTCGCCAGAATTCGATGAACAAGGATAGAAGGCGCTCGAGCATTCATGACATTACACGTGTAAATGACGGCGATGCTGCATCGCCTCAAGGACCAATCTCTGGCCAAGGAAACAGTGCAGCAGTTAGTGCCGGTAATGCCAGCAGGCAGTCTTCTCACACTCCATCTGCTCCTGGTATTAGCATCTATGGTGCTACCATTGGGCAGCCCGTTGGTGCGCCGCCCCTCATGCCCACAATTGGCACTCCTGTCGCCGGACCGCACGTAGCTTATGGACTTCGACCACCCATGGTCCCCGGAGTTGTCGTCTCCGGTGCTCCAGTTAGTTTCTCACCTATGGCTTACCAAATCTCCAATGCATCATCGCAGAGATGAAGAGAAGCTCTTTGCCATGTCAAATTCAAATGAAATTGGTAAAAGATTCTCTTGGTATGAATATTTTGTCAGCTTACAGCATTGTGCCTAAATAATGCATTAGACTCCATTTATAATGTGTTCTCATTTCATTGAGTTGATTTTACTGCTACTAAGGTTTCGTTTGGGACGATTTTTTTACTGCTTCTTAAAACAACTTTTTAATGCAACTTTTTGTACTTGAAAGCTGTTTTAAGAAGTAATGAAAAAGCAGTTCCAAAGGAAGCCTAAGAATCATAAATTGTGGAAGTAGCTTGTGGAGTAACATAAACTATGCAGAATTTGTTGTAATTATTTGAAGTTTACTCATCATACTCATTAGCCTTATTCAATTATTTGTGATCAGCTTTAACAATCCTTATTGAAATTGTTTGTTAACTATTCAATATGATGAATCTAAACAGAAAAGAGGACTCTTTTTGTAGAAGAAGGTAATATGTTTTTCTAGCAACATATTGATTTGGAGACTACTTTCAACTCATCTTTGTCTTGTTAAAGAGCTTTTTTACCTAATCGTTTTGTTGATTCTACTTTGGATATTCCTTTATTCAGTGATACTTTGAATAGTTTTTCACAATTTTATTATTGATGTTTATCTATTGGTTAGAAGTTTAGACTTTCAATTAAGAGGTTTGGATTTGAGTTTTGCATGTACGGTGCGTGTGAATTTATGAGTTAATTTACTTAAAATCTAAAAAATATTTATTTAAGAAATTTGAATTTTTTTTTTTTTTTTATTGGCTTAGCTTGGTTTTGGTGAAATAAAGTTAAATGTAGATATGCCCGCTTTAACTGTCGCCATATTGTTTGGACGAAAAATAATCTCTATACATCTTAGAGATGTTAAGCTAATTAGGATCTGTTAAGGACAGCTTTTTATTTGCTTTGTTTTTAAAATAATAATCATAAATTTTTTGTTGCTTTCTTACTGTTTTTTAAAAATTATTGTGGAAACTTGTTTTTTGTAATCAGAATAATTAAGGTTTCATTTGGGATGGCTTTTTTATTCCTTCTTAAAATAGCTTTATATTTTAAATCTTAAAATTTTTATACTAAAAAACTGTTTTAAGAAGCAGTAAGAAAGTCGTCACAAACAAAGCCTAAGTTGTTTTTATCAAAGCAACTTCACAACCAACTTTATAAGTTGTTGCGACTGTTCCAAACAAACTCTTAAGTTGTCATCTTGCAAGGGTGACAAATTTATGGATTATAAATTTAATATTAAACATGGCAGGGCATGATGAATAGCCACCATGATAAATGAGGATAAAATCTATGTTATGACTAATTATATAAACTTTATTCACAATAGATGTCATTAAATTTTAATTTTTCCATTAATATAATGTAAAGATAATGAACTAATTTTATATAATATTTATAATTAAATAAATTTAAATTTAAAATTCATTTGGATCAAATTTTGACCTATATTCTCACCTTTTATTTTCCAACAAATAGGGTCTTCAATGGCCAATTACATCTTATCAAAACATGCTTTCATTGTATCCATGAGTATCCTTGGGGTTAGTTAATTACACATGTCATATGACTCTTATGGTTTTATACCTCTAATATTTAATTTTTTATTGTTGTGAGCTAGAAAATTCTTGTCAGTAAATTGAGAATAAATTTATACTAGCTTTGCATGAAGATTTTACATACAAATAAATAAATAAAAGAGAGCGAGAGAAAACAAAATTTTTATGTGAAAAATTAGAAAAATCATGAAGTCTGATCTAGCTCAAGTAATCTCATTATATGAGTGTTGATTACAATGACTTGTGCTCAAATTAGATAATTCGATATTATAAGAATATGAGTGGGTGGTAGAAAATGTTGCAAAGTCGGTATGTGATGAGATGTATTGAAATGGTTATGATTGAGTGATGGTGATCCATCACCATTGGTCGAGCAATGGTGGTACAATGATGATGTTCATGTGGCGACGACTAGATGGCAATTTTCTATTGATGGCTATTGTTTAGTAATGGTGGTCAAGCAATAGTGATTTGATGGCAATGATCGAGCAATGGTCTAATGATAGCGATTGGGTGATAGTCCAATTGTAACACCCCAAGATCTTATTTTGGAAGAATTGCTTATTTATCTAGTAATTAATCTACAAGAGCCAATAATTTATTTTATATAATACAATCATCATCGAAAAAAATTATAAATCATATTCATCAAAATATAAAATTATATTCATCCTTAAAATTTCATGTATAATAGTCAAGAGTTTAATCCATGCATCCATTAGTCTATTTTTTAGCTCTTGACTGTAGAAGAATAAAACTAAAAAATAAACACATAAATAAAATAAAACTTAAATCTCAAATTTGTCCTCATTCCACTAAATCCTGGCCGCTTCCTAAAAATATATAAAATCATAGAGTGAGCTAATAGCTTATCATATTACTAAAACTTACAACTGAAATCAATGCAATACAATATGAATAGTATACATGTAGGCATTCAATCACTATCAATATAAACATATAACTGTAAAAGCATGTAAAAATTAATGAAGCAATAATATATTACATGATCAATAAACATTAGTATAAGTGTATATCTTAAGAATAGTAATCAATAATCAAGTAAATTATGATAAGTTTTTTAAATCATATATCTAGTAGTTTTAAAACCATTTATATAGCATCTTATTACATCAATACACATGTCATTATCATATGCATGACATACAGTGTCTATGCATATATATCATGTAAATCATGTAATTCATATATATCAAATGATTTTATATCATTTTATTAATCTTAGTAAATACTTGTATCAGTCATAACATGTATCTTATATAAATAATGTCTTGTTAATTATGTAATTTATATATTCTTATAATAGTCATCCAGCTATATGTGATGTTTTTCCTGTATCCAGTCATGTAGGCAAACCATACAGGAATCAGTCTCAATCATATCAAACCCTGTTCTAAAAATCAGTCATATCACAAGTCATTTAGTTCAAGTGGCTATCATATCAGAAGTTGTCACTTTACGACTGTTGGCATATCATATCATTATTTCTGCTCATGCCTCCATTTTTAGATCATTTAGGATTACACCACTAATTTTATTTTAAAGGAAAGTTCATCGACCCACTCTTCTGTACGGGATAACATATCCCAAGCCAAGCTGAATAAATAAATCATTTGCAATTAGCCTTTCTTATATACACACATTTCACAGTATATATAACATAATAAACATCTCATGTCACACTCAATGTTCCGTTCATTGTATCATAGTAATGCATGTAAATTTTGTATATTAACCAAAACTAGTGAAATTCATAAGAAAATGCAGTGTGCTCTTATTATGTATTTACCTATAATAGTTAGATTATAACAAGTATGTATGTCATACACTCATATTAAAAAAAATTTATAAATTATTTCTCAAATTTCTAAAATTATTCAAATTACTCAAATTAGGATATTTCTCCCAAAATACAAAAATATCCTGTGAAAATTCAATATGATTATGCCAATATGTGCATAATGATTAAAATTATAATATACTAAAAGCTATATGGTGACAGTTTGCTAAAAATTGAAATATCACAATTTTTATACATTCTAACCAAATTAAAATTCATAAAATACAAAATACACAAAATCATTGAAATTAGAGGTAGGATAGTAATTTTCTCATTGAACTAACCAGCAAATAGTTCTATGACCCTCAAACCCTAGCTTCCTCTCTTCTCTCCCTTTCTTTTTGTTCTCAAATTCAAATTCTCCTCTATGGCTTAGGTAAAACAAAAGGGGAAAAGGAAATAAGGATTACACTCATTACTGGAACTGGTTTAAAAATTTTATAATAAAATATTGTAAGAAAATAAAGGTAACCATTGTTTAATTTATAATGTAAAATTCCTATAAATTCTTTTACATTTTCAAATTCATAGATCTATAAATTATAAAAAAAAAATTATTCATAAAATAGCCCTACATGTCTAGAAGACTCTGGTGATGGAAATCAATTTGTGAAACAGACAACTAACAGTCCTAAAAAACTCATTTGTTCTGACATGTTACTTTCTTAATGAATTGCAAAGCTTCTTATTTTTATAACTATACTATCCATAAAATTAGGAAACAATCATTATAATAATTAGAGTTCAATAATATATATGTTATGAAAAAGATGGTTTGCAAATTAAACTTATAATGACTCTTGAAATATTATTTGATTGATCAAAATACAGACTATTACATCAATGATGATCGTTCAACAAAGGCGGCACAATAGTGATGCTCAGGGTTGATCCTAGATTCTTCAAGCTTCTGAGCTTTTTTGAATCTCAAACCACTGGTCCTTTTCATATAGAAAGTGGGAGTATATTTATATATTTTGAGAATGACATACCCCATAATTTGGCCAAATTTAGGAACCCTCCATTGAACATCATGTTTTGATTCTTTTGATTATAGATCATTCTTTAAGTATTTAGCTGAATTAATGATATCATAATTATGTAATCTTAAGCCCATTGAATTTTTCTTGTGGAGATGCTCGATTTAACTTTTAAGTATACAAAATTCAAAGATCATTTGATATATCCTTTAATTAATGTATTGAAATTTTCATTTATGCCCTAAGTGCTAGATCAAGGTTCATTTGGTCTTGAATCTGATCACTTTTTGTATTGTTGTTATTGTCTCGCTAAGCCAACTATAAGCTTTTTTAATTCGATGTCCGGATAATCTATAGCTTAATTTTTAAATCCCCTCCTTCAAATTGCATTAAAATTCATGTTTGATCAAATTGAGTTTTGCATTACGTATCATTTATATTTGCTCATATAACACCTAAATTCTTATATCGCATGAAAAATATCATTAATAGTCATTTTTTTTTTCAAAAGTGAAATGTATATTTCCACACATATACTTTGATGAAATAAAGATACTAAAATGCTACCTAAGTAAATATAAAAATTTAGATATTATACATAAATATTAATGAATTCTACAATATTTATGTAAATCCCCCATTCTTTTTTGTGTGGCATTAAGAATATTTCAAATATAATAATTTATTTGCTCATAAAACAAAACAAAATAAAATCATCAGCACAATTTTGTACCTACAAGTTACCAAATGAGCCCTTAACTATGCTTATGAGTCATTCATTCACTAACCAATAGGTTTGAAGGATTCTTTTTCCTCCTCACACGCACTTACAAAATATATAAATGGTAATACAATGTTTTAAAATAAATTCATAGTTGTATAGACATTTAAGCCCCCTCATAATTTTTATTAGGTTCGGACACCTGGCGTATCTCTACATCCGGAGGCCAATAAAATATCGCCACGTGCTCTTACTCTTTACCGCGCGGCCCCATCTCAATCAATTTAATGTGAATGCATAAACATAAAATCCTCAAATTTAGATAAATTATGACTTCGTTTGGGACAACTTTTTTACTACTTCTTAAAGCAGTTTAGAAAGGCAAACGAAACTCATATTTCACCAAATTTTCACTTTAATTTCGTGAAAACAGATTACACTCATTATAATAAGAACTCTTTCACATGTAAGAATCATAAATCCCTCTTCTTAATCAATCATTAGCAGCATAAGCAATAATTAAAACAGTTGAGAGGCTTTATTCTCTGCAGGAAGTCTCGTTATTTCAACATCAATCCATATCAAACATGAAAACTACAGATCCTCAAGCACTTAAAAAAAGCATATAACAAACAGTTGAAAAACTACTTCCATAAAGCATGTAACAGTTATGAAGCCATTGAGGCCTTCTTTTGAGCTTCGATCTCCTGAAGTTCTTTGAGCCTTTCAGCCCAAGCTTTCTCACGAGCTACAGCTGCCATCTTCCTTTCTATCCTCTCCATGTATTTTTTCCTTCTGGCGACTTTATATTCAGCTTGTTTTTTCCTCTTCGCAGTCTGTTTACAGCAGGGTCATAAAATATAATGCTACTTGAGTGAGGTAACATCATATAGGTCAAACTCATTATCCAAAAATAAAATGGCAGTGCAGTTTGTGAAACAACATAAAAAGTTATATGTCAGTTGATAAATTATCTGAAAGCAAATCAAACAGTTTTAAAGCTCATCAAGATCAGAATTCTCTCAGGATATCCTCACACAATTTCTTTAAAAGAATACAACAACAACAACAACAACATTAAACCTTTGTCCTACTATGTGGGGTCAGCTACATGAATCTTTTTTCTCTATTGTGTCCTGTTAAAAGTCAAATTCTCGTTTAAATCTAATAAAGAAAGATCATTTCTAATATTTTCTAACCAAGTCTTTTTAGGCCTACCTCTACCTTTCTTAATATAAGTCAAATCTAATGTCTCTACTTTCCTAACCAGGTCATCGGAAGGCCGTCGTTTTATGTGACCAAATCATCTAAGGTGACTCTCAAATCTTATCTTCCACTGGAGCTACTCCAACCATTTCACGAATATGCTCATTTCGTATCCTATCTCTAAGGTTAGAATATGCATTTTAGAATTCGTAGATTAAAAAAAAAAAGATAGAAAAAAGTTCTTTAAAATTCCTCCAAATGTAAGGCAAGTATTAAACATAGAAGCCAATAAAAATAGAATAACGTCATGTATAAGAAGCACAAATAGCTCCAACAAGTATGAAAATGGGATTCAAATAATATTTACCAAAATAAAATCCTTCCGTTGCAAGATACGCTTTATCCGTTTTCTCCCTTGGACACTTCCTTCATTGGGACGGCTTCTAGGAATTGGTTCCCCAGGAACATACTGAATCCAAGCATGCGGACCTGCAAACATTAAGAAATTCCATCAAGATTCCCAAAAAGCAAAGTGATATCAGCTTAAATATAAGGCTAGTCATCCAAGAAGTATTATCTGAAATTTTAGGCTTCGTTTGGGACGGCTTTCTTTCTGCTTCCTACAGCAGCTTTCTAGTACAAATATTAAAAATTTTATACTATAAAGTTGCTTTAAAAAACAATAAGAAAGCTGTCCTAAACGAAACCTTAGTTAATATAGAAACTGCTTGACATAAGACTTCACTTTCTCTTCACATAAAATTGTAGACTTGAGCAGGTATTTCATCTTGTTACAGCTTTCATTAGCCGTATGCACCTTTCTAAAGAAACTCTACTTCCAACATGTTATATAGTGTCTCGATCATTGTTGTTGTCTTTTCAAGTTTCTAATCTGCCATTCCAGGGATCTCTTTGCAAAGGCTGGCCACATTTTGATGCAGATTGGGTCAAAGTTTGGCTCAATTTTCCCATTGATCATGTAAATGAGCTTAGATTTCACATCAATAAACACTACATATGTCAAAAAATTTACTTTCTTAAAATAAATAACAATGAATATAAGTATTAAAACCCAAATATGATTCAATAATTGAAGAAATCAATTGGAAATTTGAGCCACACAAAAATCAATGAGAATCATAATTTAATCACCACAATTGGAATTTTAATTGTGCAGAATTTAAATAAAATTATAATAAATAGCAAACCAATAACAAAATATGCAGATGAGATAGGATTAAGGAAATAAATTCCTAAAGTAAAAAAAATCTAGGTTTTATGCCAATACAAGAAGAAGCTTCCTCTGAAATTAGATAGTGGTCAACTATACTAGAACGACTCATCACATTCATCTTGCATTCACAAGATTGAAAATTAAAAGAGAAATATTTATTCAATCAAAGATGTAAATTTACATTTATAAAAGCATGTATTTCTAAAGTTTTCATATCTAGATTACTATATATAGCTGGCATAAGATTAGCCAAATCTGTTTCAAGATGACTTTCAAGTCATAATTCGACAATATCCTAAAATCAAAATTTCAAAACAAGAATTCCACAGATAATCCCGTGAATAGGAACTGCATGGAATTCCTATGAACCTTACTGTAATGCATCAATAGTGCTCACAAGCAACGACAAAGGCATAGTAGAGTAATCGCAAGTATTGCATCAATAATTAAATTTGAAATCTCATGAAATATAAGCCTCAAGTAGGCTTAATAAAAAAAACCTAGTTTTTCATGTTCGCCTATGTTCAACTTGATAATTAGCTCGAGTTTAACTAGTTCTTATAAGCTTGTATATCTAACTAATTATTCCTGCTGCCAACACCATACTACTTATACATGCTACTGACTTCTGAAGAGCTTGTGATGATTTAGATTTAAAACTATTTTGATATAAACTTGTTCAAACTCGAATCTTGATTATCCAAGTGGTCAAAACGAATATCTTATAAGATTGCTTCAGCGTGCAAGTTTTTTTTTTTTTAAATCTTGCTTCAAATTTCATATTTATCCATCAAGATGGTTGGGTGTCACAACCTCTTCATGCTATATACACAACTTGCTTACTATATACAACGTTAACTATCCACATGTCAAGATGCAAAAGTTGAGCCACAACAGCCAGACTCTGGGTTCCCTAATATCAGGTCACACCATGTTTCCCAATTGGCTTGAGGGATGTTCGAATTGATAACATGAACGGTCTAGACTCACCTGCCTCCATACAATTCAATCCTATGTGCCACAATAGTCAAACTCTAGATTCCCTCGACCTTGTTTGCCAGTTAACCTGACGAGCGTTCAACTTGAAAACTTGCTTGGGCCCAACACATCTACCTCTAAAACGCTTGAGTTTAAATAGGAAATTCGGATAGAAGATTGGGGGTTGATTAGCATCCATACAACACATAAGAGCATGGCGACAACCTTCTAACGATCTGGACACACGCCGACGCCGTAGGGATTACCTTTAACTAAAAGCAATAGGCAAATGATGGGACCACAAAAGATTCCCCTAGCAGCTATTGTAACATCTCATTTTTTACATTCAATCTTGATTTTACACATGTGAACATGACAAAGCTAAGCCCCAATAGTTAAAGTATGAGTTCCTTGAGATCAACTTGAACCTTGTTTCTTAGTCAACTTGAGGGATGTTCAACTTTATAGTATGCTCAAGCCTGACTCATCTACCTTCATACAATTCGACCTAATGTGTTGCAACAATTTGACTCTAGGCTCCTCTTAGGTTTGCTTCCCACTTGGCTTGAGGGACGTCTAACTTGACAGCATGCTATGGGGTTAACTCCTCTGCTTCCATACAATACACCCATATGGTCTAGCCATAATCGACCACATCCAGCCATAAGCGATATCAATGATTAAACTTAATTTGCAATCAGATTGGCCTCCCAAAACTTACATTTGTAGGATTTTTAGCCTAATCAAATACTTTGCTTCAAACTTACCAATACAACCACCTTAACTAAACTAATTAGGTCAATCATTCCTCTTTCTAGAATACCCAATCTCATTACCCGAAGATGAGACCAATTTCATGATCATCTTAGCGCACAATAATTCCTATCTGCCCAAAATTTTACTTCCAAACCACTTCAAACTTCTCAAATTAACCAACTTTGTCAACCCTAATCAAATTGACTACATAGAGACCAAATCCACCGCTTCATATCTAGGAGTATTATATCACATTACTTTGATTAGGCCATTATCATCATTTCAAATCCTAATCCCATCACTATGGCTCATCACTAACGCCCATTCAATCCAACACATCGTGCATGACTGACATGTGGCAAATTTGGGATTTAATCAACTATCATTGTCAATATCATTACAGTGTCAAATCATTAATATATTGTCCTATGTAACTATTGCAGTCAATGTCACAATTCCATTCAACCATTCTATCTAAAACATTCATTTTCTGTGACACCTCTCAGCCATTAGACACATATTCACTCTTGCATGGACCACACTACCATCATAATATTGTGCCAATCAATGCTCACATGGCTTTTTTGGCCAAGCCTTGTGTAGGTATTTCTAGTCCATCTCTCTATGTGCCACACAAACACATAGAATTTGGCATCTTGTACATTTTATTGATTACAGAGAAATTCTTCCCCCTCTATATATAGTGGATGTAGGCTATATAATCAAACCACTTACACCACGAGCTCCCTTCTAGTTAGTTGGTAGATTCTCTAGGCATCCCTTTATCTCAAAACCTCCCTCTTTTGAACATGTCCATCCTGTTCTTCTTTCTCCTCTAATAGGAAGTATCTTGCCTAGAAAACTCCTCCCTCTTTCTCTTAACCGAATGTTCTCATTCTTGCACGCACCATTGACTACATTGAGAAATCACCATTAAAAATTTTGTTGTACTTTTTAATTATTTCAAACTTAAATGAAGACTGACATGAGTGATGGTTGGCATAAACCCCTGGGGATTCCTCACTCTTGCCAACTGCATTGCTCGATTATCATCGTGAAAAGTAGCCTCACCATCTAGTTGAGGACTTTAACTCTAATGGTCAACTTTTGTCATTAAGGCACAATCCTTTGAACTCTAAAAAAATTGATTTATCATTACAAGCCTCCACACGTCACTCCCATCACACTATTGCACCAGCTAACCTATCATCCTAATTTCTGACACAATTTGATTTGTAGAAATAACTTTCCTAAGAACTTAGATAAGACTTAAATCATCCAACTCTTCATTGGTTTATCAATTTCAGCAGTCATAATTTGTTCGCTGTCATGTTAACTAATGAGAGCTAAATTCAATATCTTTGAGAAGTCCGAACTCATATTCAATAGTAGATTTAATGTTCAACTTTAAATTTGTAACAATATTATAATATATTATAATGGGGGTTTATGTTACATATGATTTGAGGTGAAATTTCAATATCAATTTCTACTTCTAATGAAGGTATAAATTCATAATTGATCTTGTATCTAATGGAGGTATACTTATAGTCTTATACAAAAGCAAGGTCAATAAAACACTTTTGAACAATAGTGGTTATCAATTGTAAGCAACACATACACAATTTAATGATTAGTAGGGTAACACATGACATCAGCACAAGATGATAAAACGTAGCAATATGCCAAGATCAATATAAATATATAACAAGATGGAAGCACATTTCCAATGGGCACTACTTAAGAAGTCAAGAACAAAGTTCAAAAAGAAATTTCTACAATTAAATTCTTTAAATGAAGAGCAATAGGTAGAAAATGACCCGGAGGTTTGAGACTTGCCCTCTTCCTACGAGGCTTTGTTCCGGGCCTTCTCTTTGGGAAATGAGTATCAGTCAAGCTCTGGAAAGCCGCACCACCTGTTGAAGTGCCGAACAATCGTCTCAAAGAAAGACCCAAGGGCCCTTTGATGATGAAAGTTGTTCGAAGGCATTGGGACTTTTCTATTGCCGATGGTAAGGGAACTGCATCAGATAATCTTGCAGGGATTGTTAAAAGCATTTTTGCTGACAGAGGGCGGATGATGTTCCTAAATGCACCTCCTAAGCTCATTCTTTGCTTTAACTCGGTAAGTGAGGCCAAAAACTTCAACTTTCAAATTAAGAAAAAAGAAATTCAAGAACCGGACTTTTTTAAGCAAGTATCGATGCTAGCCTCCAAATGCAAAATAAGCTTATTAGCTTTAAAGAACACGCGCGACAGAGTCCAAATTAAGAAAGGGTATTCTGACGCGATCACATTTAAAAACTTACTGTCTACATTCCCCTCACCAAACACTCTCTCTATGTATTCTCATCCCGCAAGCACGAGATACTCCAGAAGAGGCGGAGGATTCGAGTGAAGAACGGAAGGAGATCAGTCGTCGAAGGGGGAAGCGACGTGGAGAAGAAGATAAAGGAAAGAAGAACCCAAGAAAGACCAGTGCGGAAAAAAATCCGATGACAGTTGTCGGCTTCTGAGTCTGATAGGTTTGGTGGGAGACGGATTCGGAAGACCAGGAATTAGGGATTAGGGTTTCATTCGATTCTCACCGGGCCGAATGGTCCCGACCTTATAACCCAAACTTTTATTGAAATTATTTCTTTTTTTTCTTTAAAAATATCGACAACAGAAGAAATCATTCTGTGCGGACATCAGAAGCAGCTCTTTTGAACGTGAATCAGGTGCAGTCAGGTCAGTGGTATCGGGCTGAAGTATCGAGCGAAGAGGTGATGTGACACATTCTGGTTGATCTTCAGACGACGTTCGGCATCCGTACATAATCATTTTTCCGATTACAGAGCTTTGCTACTATAGTTTTTTTTTTTTTTTTAATTTTAGGCCAAATAAAGCAAACTCATATACACATGACGTATGCAAACTTAGAATCCAATATCTATTGATTGATAGTCAAAGCTCTCAATTAATATCTCAAGATGAGTTGAGTCACCTACAACAGTGATTAAAGAACGCGATATGATCCGACAATGGTTGTTAAAGCAGCCTTGGAGTGGACGTTCTATGAAGGCGTGTTGTGTGGTTATCAAGTCTTAGGGTTAAGCCGTGTTGCATGTTAGAAAATTTATAATAATAAAGATTTAATTTTATAGTCTAATTTAGCACTAAGCTTTTCATGTACATGAATAAAAGAAAATAACTCAAGAAGTATTTAGAGTTTTTATATGAAAATTTTAAACAATATAAGAAAATCATATTGGGGATAGATGAAATGAACCAAAGTATATTCTTTCTCAATTGGAGAAGATGAGATTATTTAAAATACTAATTTGTTCTCTTGTGATAGTTGAGAATGTTTGAGAATTATGGAAGGGTGATGATAATATCTGAACGATGTTAGTTGAATGTTAGTGGTTGAGTGACGATAGGTAAATAGATGATGATGGTTTACAAGTGATGGTGAGTTGGTGACCAGGCGATAGTAGTCAAACAACGGAAAAATTATTCTGTACGGACGTCGAACGCCGTCCGGAGACCAACCAGAATGCGCCACATCACACTTGTGCTCAGTAACGCTCAGTACGGCAGCTTAGTACCACTAAAGTGGCGCATTCTGGTTGGTGCCCGGACAGCGTTTTGCGTCCGGTCTCCACACAGAATAATTTCTCCAAACAACGATAGTTGGATAGTCGTAAACAAACTATAACAACATGTCATTTTAGATAGGCCAAATTATAAAAAGAAAATATTAATTATAATTATTTTAATTTAAGAAATAATAAAGGAGACAAAATCTTATTACAATTTTTTTATAAAATTTGTTAGCTCCATTTACCTACCATGGCCCCTTATTTATTTATTTTGACAATGAAAGAAAAAATAAAAATCAAAATTTAAGCAATGTAAAGGATAGACTTAGATTTCATTTGGGACGATTTTTTTACTGCTTTTAATTTAAAGCAGCTTTTTAGTGCAAAAAGTTAATTTATGTACTAAAAATTTTATTTAAGAAGTAGTAAGGAAACCGTCCCAAACAAAACGTTAGCTAAATCCAAAAGGAAAAAATTAAAGGAAATAATCAATAAAATTATATGAACAATTTTACGCTATTGTGGCGACTTAGATCATCTCCACCGAAAATCTCATTTTTTCACTCCAAAATGCCGGAAACTACAAAATGCCGTGATTTCATCTCCAATAGAACGCGTTTTTCACCCTTTTGCAGTTAACCGTCGCCTCTTTTTTTCCCGCGACAAGTTCGGTAGAGTGGTAAAAATGGCGGAGATGAACAGTGCAACGCCAATATTGGCGTCCCACTGTTCACCCGCAGCCATATAGCGGAAATTTTACAGTTCGGCTGGAGCTGGCCGGGAGCTCCATTCAAGCGTTTGGAGGTCGGTTGGAGATGCCCTTAGTCATTAAAATTTGTATTATGACTTTTACTTAATGCTTATTGCAAAAACCTTATTTATATTTCTATGGATTAAAAAAATAATAAAACTTAATAATGGAATTGACCATTAAGAAATTTCATCCAAATGTTGGAATGGCAAACAAGTTTTGAAATTTCACCAATTTTAATAATTTTAATGTCCAATATTTTTGTCATTTTTATGTGGCTACAATTGATTGACTATTTTGTTTTTATTTTATTGAGTTTTTAAATAATTTATATTCTTTACATTAATTCATACTTAAAAAATAGTTACAATATGTGATTAACTAGTGATAAAAATTTGTGAAAAGTTTAAAATTTTAGCAATTTATTTAAAATATAAGATATTTACACATTTATTAAGAGTTTTTGAATTTTGATAAATTGATTAATAACATTAATTTAAGATTTTTTTTATTTGGTACATAAACTATCATTGCTATAAAGGTTTATTTAAGGGGTATAATAAAATTTTATTTTATTTTTTAATTTTGAAATATATAGAAACAAGACAACATAATTTATCATTAATAATAATGGATTAGGGGATCTCAAGCTTGCTAATAATCATATATTTTTTAGATAATTTGATTTAAATTATAAATTTAAATACAATTTTCTTTTTAAAATCAATTTTAGATTATTTTTTTATGTTGGGTAATATTATGTTAGGATATCATGATATATATTATATTTAGATGAGCTTAAAAATTATTGAATTTATTTTGAGATTAGAATTGAATGTTAAAAGTTTATGTTACACTAATCTTAAAGCAAATTAAACGATTTTCAAAAAAATCCTCACACAATTCGCATCATAATATTTTGACATAATTTTATTTTACATTTTTATCCCTTATGAATATTTTGATGTAGAATTCAAAATCATCAAGCAAGCATAGCAAATAGCATGATCATTAAAAAAAATGGAAAAATAAATTTAGGCTTCATTTTGGACAGCTTTCTCACTGCTTTCTAAACAAAGCATTTGATTTCGTTTGGGATGATTTTTTTGCTGTTTCTTAAAGTAGATTTTTAGTTCATAATTTTTTAATTTTTGTACTAAAAAACTGTTTTAAAAAACAATAAGAAAGCTGTCTTAAACGAAGCCTTAGTCATGATCAGGGGTGTTAGTGAACTGAGCTGGCTTGATCTCGACTCGTTTATTGGCTCGCGAGCTCACGAGTCAAGTTCGAACTTGATCAAGCTCAGCTCGCGAGCTCACTAGTTGGCTCGATTCACTAATAATATTTTTAAAATAACAACGGGCCGCGGGAAGATGAAGAGACGTCGGACTATCGGAGACTCGCAAGTTCGAACTGTGGGCGAATTTGTACAGTTCGTACTTGAGCTGCTCGACAAGCCTGTTTCAGCGTTGCAAGTTGAGCTCGAACACCCCCTGACTTAAGCTCGACTCGACTTGTTTACACCCCTAGTCATGATATATTGATTTGATTTTTTTAAATTTATATGTCATATTTTTAATTGTTAATGTATGAACTTATATAATTCAATCTCCAAAGTATGTAAATAAATTTAAAATAATTAAGTTATTTATATGTAATGACAAAATTTGTGATAAAAATGATAAATAATTTTAAATATCTTAAAAACAACAATTTGGTTCTTAATATTTGTCTCATTTATTATATATTTTAATCGATTTATATTTCATCTAAAAATCATTTTATATAAATTAAATGCATAATTCCATATCATTGAATTAGTATATAAACACAATCAGTCAAATTTTAAAGGCTATCAAGATTGGAACTGAAGCAAGATAACTGACCAAATGCTTGAGTGTTTCACACGTGTGGTTCTGTCCTGCCGTACTGCACGTGTGGTTGGCTTAGAAAAAAACATTATATAAATACAATCTTTTTTTATATTAATATTAATTTTGCTAAATAGTTTTAATGGTAAGAAAAAAAATCGACTTATTCGATTCAGTCCACCATAATGGCTTATTTTAGATGCTTGAATTATATTTGAATTTTTGACATTTTATTTTAAATATATTTAATTAATTAATAATAGATATTTTGTATGCAAAACAACAATACATAGCATAGGCATTTGTTGAGAGAATACTTATCATTTTTATGAATGGATTTTCCACATTTTAAATGGTGAATGAACATTTTTTTTTTCTTTTTTTTATATTTTTTATGTTACAATCAAAACTTATCATTACTATGATAAATACAATGCAAGATTTTAATATTTTTGATGATCATTTTGTTGTCAATTGGATGCATTAAAATTTTTTTATAAATAATTTTTAATATATGAGAAGATAATTATGATAAGGAAATTTTAAATGATATGAAATAAAAATTAATGTATTTGATAAATTTAATTGATGAAATGTATTGATAAAATTAAAATTTTAAAGGAGATTATATTTTTAATCTAATCATTATATATATATTTTTAAATTTTAGGTTTAATGTTAAATTAAATTTTATAATTTTGGTTAGTTGTTTATTTTGGATAAGAAGATTAATTTTAGTAATATATGAAATTTAGTATATTGATATTTATTATTTAGAATATGGGGGATGATATCTTGTTGATAAAAACATAACAAATAAAGAAAAAATAATATTTCTCCCCTCTTATGTGTTTTTTTTCCCTCTTAGGTGTTCAATCTTAAAATATTACATTTAATCATATATTTTGAAAATAAATTAAGGGAGCATTTAAAAAAATAGAGAAGGCAACTTAGGCTCGTTTGAGGAAAAATTATTTTGTGTGGACGTCGAATGTCATCCAGAGAATAACCAGAATGCTCCACGTCACCCTTTCGCTCGGTACCACGGTTCGGTACTACTTGGTATGCTGACGTGGTAGGACCTGATTAGCTCTGGACATAGAGATTCATCAAGCGTCCTCACATAATAATTTCTCTCATTTGAGAAAGCGACTTCTTTTGGGATGAGTTTTTACTAATTCTTAAAGCAGTTTTCTAGTTAAAATTTTTTAATTTTTTGTACTATAAAATTACTTAAAGAAACAGTAAGGAAGTCATCCCAAATGAATCATTAATCTAAATTTGATATAATTTTGTGTTAAATTTCTTGAATTATTTTTGAGATTGGTGTAGGGGGTGTCAAAACGGGTCGACGAGTCTGACTCTGGTCGAATCCAAGTTGACCTGGGTCTAAATGGATCAACTCGAACACTACCCAATTTTACAAACAGGTAAAAAACTCATAACCGAACCCAACCCATAATGCAAACGGGTTGACCCGAACCTAAATTTTTTTGGCCATATTTGATTGACCCGATCCTGAACCCGACCCATAATGCCAACGGGTTTCGAGTCAGGTCATATTTTGGCATCCTTAGATTGGTGCAATATAAAAATTATTTGAAATGTAAATGAAATTATTTTCTTAAACTTAGGTTGATTACTTTCTTTTGTATATAAAATTGATATAATTAAAGATAATGTTTTTAATCAAATTATTTAAAAAAACAAATTAATATTTTAAGTAATATATTTTAACACTTTTTTTTTTCAAAAATATGATCATTAATTTATGTTATAGATAAAAACATCTATGACAAATGAGGATTATTTAGGATTTTCTTATAAAATTGTATATAAAGAAGACAAAAATTAATCCGTATTTATATTTTATAAAAAAATATTTATAACCCATATTTTTTGCAGTTCATATTGTTTTCTTTAAAAGGCACACATAATTGACCATTTCCCTTTTATGAAAGCGTTATGAAACGCTTCTACTTTTTTTGAAAAAATATGAAAAATATATTTGAGAGAAAATACTATTTAAAAAACCTTTAAAGAAATTCAATTTTAGCTGAAATTAATTAATGCAAATTATTGACTCTTATTTTGTGGCTAATTGAAATTAAGTCTAAAAATGTTTTATAAAAAAATATTAATAAATAATTGGATAGATCACCTTTTTAATCCCTCCAATTAGGATCTTAAGTGAATTAATTAATGTGAACAATAAATAACTCAATATTTTATTCTAATTCATGTAATTATATAACTTTGCAAAAAAAATTAAGAATTTACATATAAATAAACATTTTGAATATTGAACCTCTAATTTTTCCTATGTTTATGAACATGCTCATTATTATTCAACAAATAATTCACTAAAATTTTGATAAAATTCTCCTTTAATAATATTTAATAACTTTTTTTTTTATATTGAGCAAAAAATTCACAATCATATAATTTCTATGTTATGCCTTCTCAAATAGAGAGATTATTACGTGCAGCGTCAGGATGGATCAGGAGACCAATTCGAACGCGTCACATTACCCAAAACACTGTTTATTGGGTGACACCGCCAGTCTGACAACACACATAATAATTTTTCTTCAAACTAGAGCTAAATCCTCAATCAAGATGACAATCAATCAATCAATTTGATGATCTATTTTATAATTTTTTTACTTATATTATACCTCTTATATGATATAGAAAAATAAAATTTTGATATCTCATAACTAGGGGTGTCAATATTTGACAAGACCCGAAAACCCGACTCAAACCCGATCCAAAAATTTCAGGTTAGGGTCAACCCGAACCCAAAACAGGTCGGGTTCGGGTTCAACATTTCGACCCGTTTCAAAAATCAGGTCGGGTTCAGGTTAACCTTTTGAACCGAAATTGACACGATTTGACCTGAAAACCCAATTTTGATCCGGCAACCCGAGATTGACCCGATTTTGGCCCGAAAAAGAGGAGATATACTCATTTTTTTACCGAAAAAAGAGGATATATATCCGTTGTTAAACCGAAAACTAGCAATTTTTTATTGGAAACGGATCATTCGGGTCTTGTCGGGTTGACCCGTACCGGAAGCGGGTCGTGTTCGGGTCAGGAAAACTGAACCGTTTTCAAAAACGGGTTGGGTTCGGGTCGAATAGTTCCGTGTCATTTTCGGGTTCGACCCGAACCTGACCCGTGACCCGAAATTGACACGCCTACTCATAACACATAAACGCTAGCCTACCCCCCTCTCTATATAGAGAGATGGGGAGCAGAGTTAATTTATAATATGTGTTATAAAATATCAAACATTTTAATAATAATTTAAATATATTGCTAAAAAAATATGAATAAAATTAATGACTTTTCATCTATAACCACCTCAAAATTTTCACTTAATTGATAATTAATCAAATTATACAAAATTAAATGAAATTAATTACAAAATTAAAGTATAAATCACAATTAATAAAATAATATTAAAATTAAAAATCATGTTAAAACAAAATATATTAGTCATTTTCAAATAATCATTTAGAAGTTATTGGTGTCCCTTTCTCAACATCATATAGAGTAGAGAGACCATCTCGACAACAGTTTGTTCGTCCATCTATGAGTAATTAAGCAATTAATCTCTCTTTTTTGTTCTCTAATCAGTTTTTTTTGTTTGAAATTAAGTAGGATTAGCTGATTAGGATTGTTTAGTTTTGTGTTAATACTAATGCACCTTTCTTATAGATTATAGAGTAATTAAAGAATTAATCTTCTTTTATTCATCTGTAATAATCTTTTTTGTTTGAAATTAATCCATGCTTCTTATCGATTACATTTAGCTACTTGAATAGGAGATTAATAATCCTATTATTGTTCTCTAAGCAATTAGCAAGATGGGATTGCTTGATAGTACTAATTATCTACTCTCCTTGTGGATTAAATTTAGTTTTTTATTTAATTATTATGAGTTTTTAAGCAATAAATCTCCTCTTTTCTTGTTCTTGAAACGAGTTTTTTGTTTGAAATTAAGTAGGATTAGAGAGTTTAATTATGTGTTAATACTAATCCACTTTCTTCCTGAGTGATTAATAAGCAATTAATCTCCTTTTATTGCTCTCTAAACAGATTTATTGCTTGAAATTAAGTAAGCAGAATTAAAATAGTTGAATTACTTGGTTACTCTAATCCCCACCCTCCTTATGGATTATATTTAGCTTTTTTGTTTAGTTACTGTCTGAGTAATTAAGCAACTAATCTCTTTTTCTTATTCTCTAAACAACTTTTAATTCTTTTGCTGAAATTAAGTAGAATCTTAATAGTTTAATTATGTTAAACTTATATTTTAATTATGCTTTTTGTGCTTATTAATTGCAGGAAGAAAGCATTCGGTGGTGGTGGATCGGTTGAACAAACTACGCAATAAAGCTGATAGCTTTGTGCATGGCGTCCGAGATCACGGTAAATAATAAATATTGCTGTAATGAATTTAATATATTTTAATTACTGTTTAATTATAATTTAGAATATTATTAGTATGTTGATTAAAGAGAAAAATCGTTTTATGAAATAATTATATTAATTAACGAGATCATAATATAAATTTGTATAATACCGCAAAATAATACTCAATTTTATTTTTTTACCCAAGAAAAAATGGTATTTTACTATTTTCTCTTTTTTTTTTTTTTTAAAAACACAATTTGTTGATTAAAGAGAAAAATCGTTTTATGAAATAATTATATTAATTAACGAGATCATAATATAAATTTGTATAATAGTGCAAAATAATTCTCAATTTAATTTTTTTACCCAAGAAAAATGGTATTTTCTTTTCTTTTTTTTTTTGAAAAAACACAATTTCTCTCTTTTTTTTTTTTCAAATAACACTTTTGATCCATATTTACATTAGGAACTTCAGCAAAAATTTTTTTCTCATTTTAATCTTTTTGTGTAAGAGATTAATAGCTGCAAAAATTTACAATCAAGGACAATAATTTATCCAAATTTACAAAATTAATTTTCTTAAATTTTCATAGAATCAAATGAGAACTAATTAAGAAGAGTTTTGTTCTACAGTGAGTGTGGGGCACAAGATATCTGATACTGTTAAGGGGAAACTGAGCCTGGGAGCAAGAATTATTAATTCAGGAGGTTTTGAGGGGGTTTTCCGCAAAAGTTTCTCAGTAGTAGAAGATGAGAAATTGCTCAAGGCGTCACAGTGCTACATGTCCACCACTGCAGGGCCTGTAGCAGGCGTGCTCTTTGTTTCTACTGAAAGAATTGGATTTTGCAGTGAGAGAGCAATCAAAGTCTCTTCAACTGTTGGAAATTCAGCTAAGGTACCTTACAAGGTGAGTTACATAATTTTTAAATTTATTTTTTACATGTTTTTTTTAACTTTAACAATTGTGTAAAATATGGGGAAGAATTGTATAAATTCTTATTAAGCATGGACTTTTCTGCAGGTTTTAATTCCATTGAAGAAGGTGAAGGGAGCATTTTCAAGTGAGAATACGGAAAATCCGAATCAGAAATATATGTATATAGTCACTGTTGATGGATTTGAGTTTTGGTTTATGGGATTTGTAAATTACAAAAAAACTTTCAAGTCCGTTCAGAAAGCTATCTTAGTAAGGTGATTAATTGTTGTAAGGTTGCAAACCGAAATTTAACCTTTTATAAGGTGTTTTTTGTATTTGTTTGTTTCCACATGAAGAAATATTTCTGAATGTGAGAGAAGAAATATATATTTCCATTCTTTTTTTTTTTAGTTTGTATATTTTAACATGCATTATAGCAATCTATAAAGTTTTGAAATATAAATGAAGCGTAAATTATACACCAAAAAATTAGTATTTTAATTAGTTTTTATTAATATTATTATAAGATTGCGGATAAAGCTTATGCATTATATATACAGATCATTGACAATTAAAATCTCTAATTGCATTCAAAGAAATATAATAACGAAAACCATATTAACATTACACGATAATATTTAATTCCTATTACAAAGTCCAAAAAGCATATAATATGCAATAGCCATCATTGACAGAAAAGAAAATAAACCAAAGAGCTTAAAGGTAAAATGAATTGTTTGTCACAACTAAAGCCTCAATCTATAAGGCTCATTACATAATACTTGAAATAAAAATAAATCACGTAATGAGCATAAAAGACAAAATAAGTACAAAAATTACTGTACTTGTAAGGCAAAAAGATTAATAATAATCAATCAAATGAATAAGGTACCCCAGGAAATCCTTATTACCGGCGGAAATTTTCCGACGGCTTTCCGGCGGATTCCAGCGGATTTTGTGACAGTTCTTATTCTCAAAATTTTCCGCGCTTATCGAGCTATTTCCCGCGCAAAATTTTGCGCTGCTTAATTGGTCCGCAAATTTTCAGCGGGACTTTTTCCGGCAGACATTACGAGGCGGTTACCGGCGGTTTCGACCAGTTTTCCGAGTGGTACCATTTTCCGCGGCTTTTTAACGTTTCCAGGCGGCTTTTATAAAATTTATAAAAAAATGGAATAAAATTTTTAAATATTTAAATGATTTTACAAAAAAATATTAACAAGTTAACAAAAACTATTACTTAATTCTTCATCTTAAAATTAATTAGTTAGTTATTTTTTAATTTTTATTAAAATATTTTTTTTATTTTAAATTAATTAGTTTTAATTTTTTTTATAAATAAAGTTTTTTTTTTTATTTCTGTGGTGATATAGTTTAAATAATAAATATTTACAAGTTAAACGTATTTTCTTCTTCAGCAAAGCGGTCCGTCGTTTGAAATTCCACGTGAGGAACCGCTGTTCGAACCTCGCCTTGCACACTGGAGCCCGGAGCGCGCGCGGGAAGCTAGCTGCACGCCGCGAGAGCCGCTTGGGGGGAGCTTACCGAAGCATTGGAGCGGGGGTGGCTGCCGGAGCGTGGGAGCGGGGGTGGTTGTCGGAGCGCTGAGGGTTGAGCCGCGGGAGCGGGGTTGGCTGTCGGAGCGGTTTTTTTTTTTTTTTGACCGGCGGTTCATGATCGCCGGACAAAATTGCCGCCGGAAAAAACCGCCGGAATTCATTTTCCTACGCCGTTTTTACCGGCGGTAATTAAACCGCCGGAAAACTACAAAACCGCCGGAAAAGATTCAATTACCGCCGGAAAAGGCCGCCGGAAATGGGTGATTTTCCTGTAGTGGTATCGGTATGAACACTAAGCAATCTACAAAGTCAATATCAATTAACAGTAAAATCAATATGAATATATGATTAGTAAAACTAATAGTAGTCAATGACACCATAAGACAAATTGTTACAATTATCAATCAATATGTCATGACAGTATTATATATCATGTTATATTAGTATCAGTGTATGCTCTATTTGTACGACTTCAATTCTATTTATAAATCATTTCATATGATATCACGTAAACATAATCATGAATATGATTATGAAGAGCAAGGCATGACATCAAGCTTTAATATGATGTTTTCATTATTCCATCCCAACTACTGACTAGTTGATCATCAATTTTTAATTTAACCACAACGGTTGATCAGTTGGTTATCAATCTGTATATTTCCATCATTATTTATTATCTTAAGTTAATTCGCACATGGCTTTCAATAAATCTTTGAGAGTTGTCATTCTCTACTAGTTTGCATAACTAGTCGATAAGTTACAGACTAATATCATGAATCAAACCATAAATCTTTAGTTTTAAGATAGCCCATCGGCCCACTCTCCTACGCAGGGTATTATATTTTAAGAGTCAATATGTATTAATTATAATGTTGACAACCAGCCTTCATTGCTTACTTGCAAATGCCACATTTATCTTGTAATTAGTCATATAATTTCTTATATGCAAGTTAATATCATGCATGAAATGTAATCATCTATTAAATACGAGAAAATCTCTATACTATGCATTAACTTTAGGAAATTACAACTATTAATTACTTGGTAAAATTTAATAATATTACAATCAAAATGCTCATGAATGATACGTCATCGAAAAATTATTTTGATCGGGCACGAATCTCAAGGCAAAATAAAGTTGGAAACTTACAAAATTAAAATTGGGATCATCCAAACTCCGATTTGAACAAACTTACAATCAAACTGAACGTCTCAGAAATACAAACCCAACGACACCAAATTCGACTCAATCTGAGTCCAAATAAATCAAAATCAAGGACACGAAGAGCTGTTGTAAGGTTCAGACACAATTTGGATTATCAAACAATTTCCAAACATTATATACTTATAGTCGAATCGAGAGGCTCGACGATACGAATCCAACGAGTCCAAGATCGCCAAATTTCAATATCATTAAGATCTTCAAATGTCTAAAAAACGGTCAACAATCAAGGGATTCAATATCGGCCGTCCATCCAGTCAATCCCCATTTACCCTTGATCTCTCACCTATTTACGGGTCATGCCACTCTTGAAATCTATAAATAGACCCCTCTGTTATCTTAAAAAGGGGAGCTCCAAGCAAGAGAGCAAGAGAGAGATCAGTTTGCTCTTGCCTCCTCACTCCTCCTCAACCACTGTCGGAGTTCTACCGGACCACCACCTGAGGCTCGGACTTCTGCCTGACCATCGCCTGAAGTTGTTGCTCCGCCGGACCACCACTTGAGGTCTTGTGCTCAACCAGACCACCACTTGAGGCCCGGACTTTTGCCGGACCACCACCTGAGGCCCGAACTTCCGCCGGACCACCACCTGAGGCTCATACTTCTACTGGACCACCACCTGACTCCCGGACTTTTGTCAGACTACCACTTGAGGCCCTCACCCTCGCTGGACTTCTGTCAGACCACCACATGAGGCAAAAACTTCTATTGGACCACCACTTAAGGTCCTGAGCTCCACCAGGCCACCACCTGACGTCTGGACTTCTGTCGGACTCTTACTTGAGGCCCTGTGCTCCACCAGGACACCACATGACGCCCGAACTTCTGTCGGACCCTCACTTCAGGCCCTATGCTCCACCAGGCCACACCACCTAATGTCTAGAGTTCTCTTGGAGTACCGCCCTTCTACTACTGTCTTTCGAACCCTTGTCTCCTATCGACTATGTCCCTTCTAAACAAATAAACATGTCTATGTTGATTATTATAGCTCCCACCATGTAATGCGCTCTATATGATGTATATTTGTGACATTAAGCCAATGCTTTCTCCGAAGAAAGATCCTCATTTGTAATAAACTGCAAATACTAGTTGATTCATTCAAACTGGCCAGACCTCGTGGGTTTTCCCCCTTTTCAGGGGTTTCCATGTAAAAAACTCTAGTGTCTCTTATGAATGCTACACCCTCTATCTTATATGCTTGTGTGTTGGATCTTCGTATAATGCTGAGACGCTAAACTTTATATTTCTCTACCCCCACAAATATTCCAGGATACAACAATGAAGATTATATATATATATATACTAAAAATTACACAATAAAAACTGGATAAATCAAGATACCTAATATGGTTTAAATGATTTCAGTAGTGCATATCATCAATTACAAATGATGACCTAAGCATTATTGAGAAATGTGTTAATAAATATAATAAATATAAATTATATGGAATGGATTATATTGTGGAAGTTGAAGATAGAAAAATTGTAGGAAGGTCATAAACCTTCCTTTTCACCTCTACAAGCTTGACAGAAATCTGGGATGCATATGCTCTGATTCATATCTACATTTTAGAGTCTCAATAGGAGAGCTATGTTTTGTACATTCATTACTCTAAAATACTTTATTTTCATAAATATCAGTTTTTTTTTAATAAGTTATTTTCTTTCAGTGAAAAAAAACTCAATATATTTTTCATCTTCAATAGGATAAGTCATGTATTTATAGTAACAGTAGTAGTTAAGTTGCAGATAAGCATAATACTTTCTTGTGTGTTTGATACTCTACTCAATCACTTTATTATTTGATTTGGCACGTACACTTACGTAATTAGTGGTCTTACATTATATATTCATTTTCAACTTTTAGGTTATTACACTGTGGTTATAGGATTGTAATTGAGAAACAACAATTGAAGAGTTGTAGTTGGGTCATTGTGCTTGGAGGATGATAGTTTGACAACGGTGGACAAATGATAATAGTCGGTCAATGGTCTTCATGGGACCAAAGAATGACAATGGTGATCGAAGGATCCAAATCAGACAATCACAATTGGGCACTGATGGTTCAGGCTATCATAGCAAGAAAATGGTCGTCAGATCTTCAAAAGACTATTGTCAAGCAATAGTGATTATGAGGCAGTAGTCGAAGGGCCGTAGTATAATGATTCGTCAGATCTTCAAAAGACTATTGTCAAGCAATAGAGTGATTATGAGGCAGTAGTCGAAGGGTTGTAGTATAATGATGGTGGTCAATGGATTGTAATTTGAAGATGATGATCGATGCACCATAAATAGATGATCCTCAGCTCAATTATAATTTTTTTTAATCCAAATACAAATCAAAATATATATTGAAAATGAAAAGATTAAAAATAATCATCTCTTAGATATAACTTGAAAATAATATGATTAACAAAATCTAAGTCAACTTTGATGTTAGATAAAATATCATTTTCAACAAAAAAAAAGAGGAAAAAATTCATGAACTGTACCTTTTTTTTTTTTTTTTTTTTGAGATATGTAGGCCAATTCAGACAGACTCACACACGCATCGTATACATAAGATTCGAACCCAAAATCTTTTAATTGATAGTCAAAACTCTCAACCAGCAGATCAAGTTGAGCTGTGTAACTGTATAGATTTCAGTTGAATCATTCATATATATAACATTTTTAAATTAACAATTCCATCCAAAGAACATTCATAGGCTTAATTGCACAAAGCCACAAACCATCTTCTGCACTGTAATTTTCCTGATTGTTCCATTTGGCTTATTTTCTCCCATTTTTTTAAAAAAATTTTATTTGTTCATAAATATAAATTAAGCTTTATACAGCTCATGCATCCCAGGCGTTATAATTTATGAGAACAAGTAAGGGTTTCAGTGATGTGGAATTTAGGAACAAAATAAAACAAAACAAAAATTAAAATAAAAGCAATGTAGGTTTCAACAGCCTGGATGTGAAACATTAAAGGGTCTAATAATAATATTCTCTTCTTTGAATTTAGCCTGTTAATTGACCCTTCTTTTGGCCTCTTTTAAAGAAAAGATATCCTCAAGCCGAACGCAATTCATTATCCGGAGACCAACCGGAATGAGTCACGCCAGCGGTACCGAGCAGTCACGAGCCACGGTACCGAGTGAGGGATGACGTGGCACATTCTCTGGTTGGTCTCTGGACAGCGTTCGGAGTCCGCATAAAATAATTTATCTTTTCTTTTTTAGAGGGAGTAAATGAGTTGAGTAGAGTTCAATTCACCGCTAGTTCGAATTTGAGCTTGATTAATTAATCGAGTTTGAGCTTAATTTTATGAGTTCGAATTGGCTCACGAGCTGACCGATTTATGGAGAAAAAGGAAAATAAATGATTAAAATTTTATGAATTATTGCAATAAAATGTTAAAAAGAATGAAAAATTGGAGGATAAAGAATAAATAATCTTTGATATGAAAGAACATGATATATATTATAAATAATTTTAGCAATTTCATATTTAAACTCATGAATGCTAATATATTTTAAGTGTATTTTACATGAATATTTTTTGAAGGAGCCATCTCACAAGCTAAGAAGTTGAGGTGAGGCTAGCTATAGCTTGACTCTTTGTCTATTAAAATTGCAATTTTTAAAATTTTTTAATACTTTCTTCAACTTTCCGCCCCTTTAATATCCGTGTTATTAAATTATTTGCTGGTTAGTTTTGGTTTGCTTCACTATAAATTTAAAGACTAAGGCTTCGTTTGGGATGACTTTCTTTCTGCTTCTTAAAGCAGCTTCATAGTACAAAAATTTTTATAGAAGCAATAAAAAATCCGTCCCAAACAAAGCCTAAGACTTCGTTTGGGATGGCTATTAAAGTATTTTTTTAGTAATATTTTTTACTAGAAAGCTACTTTAAGAAGCAATAAACAAGCAGTCACAAACAAAGCCGAAGTTTAGTTTTAATAATTTGTTTTGTAATGTTTGTGCTTGTCAATTGACTTATATCTGCTTCCAATTTGAAGATAAAAATAAATTTAGATGTGTGGCTACATATGGCTTTGCATTAGCACCCTCATGACATAGTAGTTTTGTTTAAGTGATGAGATTTAAAAGTTTTGTTCGGGACAACTTTCCTACAACTATTTATTTTTCAAATCGCAACCACAATATTTATTTAGTTACTAATTATTTTGTTACTTTCAAGAAATTTTTAAAAAAATTATTTTCTCGATAACAAATTTATAACAATATTTACTAAAAAGCTACAGCCCTATCAAACGAACTTTTATTTTATCCGGTGAACGTACGCTCCTCTACGTTCGGTTCTAGGCAAAAAAAAAAAGCGTAATACCGAGTACCGAGTTGTACCGAGTTTTTTCAAAAAACTCGGTATTGCGCTGTTTTGGTCTAAAACCGAACATAAAGGAGCGTGCGTTCACTGGATGTAATAAAAGTTCCTATCAAACGGACCCTAAATCTCATTTCCTAAATTGCAGATTTCACATGAGAACATTAACAACCTCCCATATAAAATAGCACAAATCAACCTTTTTAATACTAAGAAGCTATCTAAGTTAAAAATAATCTATCCATTGTTTATTACGAAATCATTTTAATAAGAGGATTTATGAATGTTGAGCCGGGCCTTTTTTTTTTGAGACATTTACGTCAATTAAGACAAATTCAGACACACATCACGTACACAAGATTAGAACCTAAGACCTCTTGGTTGGGAGCCCACAAATAAGGGTGAGTTGTAAACTAATAAACTTTGATACATCTTATTTGTTGTGACATCCATCAATACATGATTGAATGATGATCTATTCCTATAATGGTAAACAAATCAATCTACATAATTCTTGCTTATAATAATTTATTGTTGAAAGATAATGAATGATATGAAATGAATGAATTGTATTATTTTTGAACAAAACATATAAGAAATGCTTTAAGATATGCTATGAATATCATACATTTTAGTTGTTATTAAATTTTGAATATCTCAATTTAATTTTCTTGAAATCATAGAAGCTCATCGAAGTTGGAAAAAAAAAAGTGTTGACAGTGGTAGGAAAATTTTGTAAGATGGATCTGGATGTTACGAACCTAAAGAGAAAGGATAACTATTTATCTTTTTTAATATATGCATAAAATTTTCACCTAATTAAAATTTCTCGTTATATCCTCTCGAGCATCAAGCATCATCAAATAAATCAAAATTTGAATATGATTTCTAATTATATTATAATGACTTGAGAGAATACTAGTCTTCCAAAAAGAAATCATGAATTTTATGGGTGGTGCTATGTGAGGATTCTCTAGTTACAACTTACAATAGGGGAATTTTGACTTTAAATGATTCATAGTTGTCAAATATGGAGAAATGCATATACTAATTATTTTTTTGAAGGAAATATGATTGAAACTTCAATTCATACTAAAATAAAGATTCATAGTTGTCGAATCTCTATTTGGACCAAGATTAACACATTGTTTGAACATGATTTGAATACGATTGAATCCCATTCCATCGATATTCGAATAATATTCTAATTTTACTCAATTATGATTCCAATTATTGAAATAATGTTTGAATGTAATTAGAATTTTGCTTAAATATGATTTAAATATTAGTTGTAAATTGATCAAACTTATATTGTTAGATATGAACTTTAAATATATAATTCAAACAACAACAACAACATCAAGCCTTTATCCCACTACGTGGGGTCGGCTACATGATAAAGCATTGCAGTCCTCACTACCATCTTATAGAATTTTCTCTTAAGTTTGAGGGGTACATTTCTATCACATAACAAGCCCGATGCATTCCTCCACTTCAACCATCCAACTTGAATTCTGTTGATAATATCCCCATCTATTTCACCATCACTCTGAACAATAGATCCAAGATATCTAAGATGTGTACTCTTATTAATGACTTGATCGCCCAAAGTCACAATCCCCTCACTAGGTCTATTACTACTAAAATTACACTCCATATATTCCGTTTTAGATCTACTCAAGCGAAAACCTTTAGTTTCTAATGTTGACCTCCATAATTCAAGTTTACTTTCAACTCCCTCTCTAGTCTTATCAACAAGAAGAATATCATCAGCAAAAAGCATACACCAAGGTACATCATCTTGCAAATGTCTAGTGAGAACATCCATGACTAAAGTAAAAAGATATGGGCTTAAGGCTGATCCTTGATGTAACCCAACCGAAATAGGAAAATACTTGGTCAATCCACCTTGTGTTTGAACACAAGTAATAGCTCCTGCATACATATCTTTAATGATTTGAATATAAGCATTATTGACTCCTTTCTTTTCAAGAACTCTCCATAGCACTTCTCTTGGAACTTTATCATATGCTTTTTCTAAATCAATAAATATCTTGATCTAAAATAAACTTCAATATACATTTTTTTAAAAAATAAATATTATTTATTTTATTTAAAAGTAACACTATATAAATAAAAAATTTTAATATTTATTTCAAGAAAGATCTTATTATCTTATAATTTATCGCAAATATCGTACAAAAATTTTGGTAGCATTTTTTACAATAAATATCGCATTTGACATTTCTACCTTTCTTCTCGGAGAAGAAATCTCAGGAAGCAAATCATGCAATAGGCCTCAAATTCATCGCAAATTTCCATTGGACACCGTCTGCGCCTCTTCTCTGCTGGCGATGACGCCGCCGCCGGCACAGCTACCGTCAGTTCCCGCGGCACAGCAAGTGCTACAATTCCTCAGCACCGTTCTCTCTCAGCGCGGCCCTAATGCCCTCCCTTACGCCGAGGAGACGAAGTGGCTCATCCGCCAACACCTCGTCTCCCTCGTCGAAGCTTACCAGTCCCTCCGCCCAAAAGCATCCTCTTTCACCCACAACGATGGCCGAACCGTCAATCTCCTCCAGGCCGACGGCACCATCCCCATCGTCTACGACGGCGTCGTCTACAACATCCCTGCCACCATATGGCTCGTTGAACGCTACCCTCTTATCCCTCCTTCAGTATTCCTCAACCCCACACGTGACATGGTTATCAAGCTCAATCACCCACATGTTGATCGCTCAGGCTTCGTTCATGCCCCATATCTCAAGAACTGGATCTACCCCTCCTCCAATCTCGTTGATCTTGTCCGCTCCCTCTCGCAGATCTTCAGTAATGACCCGCCTTTATACTCCCGCCAAAACCCTAGGCCTAACCCTAATCCTACCCCCAACCCCATCCCTTCTCCCTCTTCCTCCAGCAATCACTCTATCTCCAGCTATACCCCAGGGCTGCACTCTCGGCCCACCGAGGATCCATCAGAGGTGTTCCGCCGCAATGCTATGAAGAAGATCCTGGATGCAGTTCATGCCGATAGTGCCGGGCTCCGGAAGGTCCAAGAGGCGGAGATGGAAGGGCTGCTTGGCACCCAAGCATCGCTCCGGCACAGAGAGGAGGAGCTTGCGCGCGGGCTTCGAGAGATGCTGGGTGAGAAGGAAGGGCTGGAGCAGATGCTACAGCTTGTGCTTATGAACACCGATATCCTCGAAGGATGGATGAGGGAGAACCAGGGAAAGTGGCTGCGTGATGTCGATGCAGATGATGCATTTGAGCCGGTGGATGCTCTTTCGAGGCAGATGCTGGAGTGCACAGCTGAAGACCTTGCTGTAGAGGACACAGTGTACTCTTTGGATAAGGCATTGCAGGCTGGTTCGATTCCTTTTGACATGTATTTGAAGAATGTGAGGGCGTTGTCGAGGGATCAGTTTTTTCATCGGGCACTGGCGATGAAGGTGAGGGCTGCCCAGGTGCACGCCCAGGTCACAAACATGGCCGGTAGAGCGTCACTGTATACTTCATAGGGAGGAGGTCAGTTTTACATCTTACAGGTTGTAAAACTAAACGTTTTTCTTAGATGTTATAAAATTTTCTTTGAATTTTCATATTGTGGCCCTTTATGTTTGTTGGATTGGCTAGTTAAATGAAATAATAATTCAGTAATGAATAATCTTTGCATGATTGTAGTATATGTTGTGTAGTAATATTTTAGTTGGACTGGAACTGAAGGAGCATGAATCAAGTTTCTACTGATGATTCCTAGTTGTAACCTGATTTTTGCTTTCTGGATGTAATATATTGAAATGTTCTTGCAAAAAATTCAATTATTGATTATGGAAGTTTGATTTTCTATGGTTTTTTATAATTCCTTAAAACTAGTTATGTTTCTTGCTGGACAGTAAATCATCAGTGGAGCTTGGATAACTTACAATTACCTTTTTTTTAAAGAGTAATGTTATTGTAGTATTTTGTAAGTTTTCAGAACATATAATTATCATCAGCATCAGAATCAGCATCGCTAACATTTTACCAAAAAAAAATTACGTTATATCATATCGGTTTCAATGATTATACTCTTTGAGATCTGAAAGCAAATGAAATATGCTTGCTTAACTTGATAATCTCTTTTTAAAGTTTCTTGTTCCTAGCTTCCTGATGCAGTAAATCATAGACTGATTCCAATTTCCATTTTATTCTTTTTTTTTTAATATTTTATAAAGTAGCCATAGAATGTGATTTTGTTTAGTAGCAACTACAAACAACTACCATGTCATAGTGTTGGTAAACTTGTAATAACAACTACTGAAAGGCTAAGCAATTGTGTCAATTTGGTTTTAAAGAGATAAAATGGCATCTTTAAGGGAAATTTGGTTGTATTAAGCTATTTTTTAATTTTGTTTGTGTATTGGATGTGAAGTGGGTAATCTTGTTGCTTGTGTCTGTTTGTAAATAAGTGAAATCAATGAAAATTTAGAGAGCAAAATAAAGCATGAAATAAAAAAGATCATTGCACAATAGCACCGAAGAATTTAGCACAGGTTCACCCAATTGATAGCTATATCATATTTACGTTGTTGCAAATTTCAATTTGATTTGATTGTGGACAAAATGCAACCCTTATTTCTCTTGTGCACATGAGATGCCATCCACTTTATGGTTCCAAATATTGGATAAGATTTCGGGGCTTCATCCTCCTTTCAACCCTTGTAGTGTCCTTACTTGTAACTACGTATGTTTAGCGTGTTTTATTTGTACTGACTATGATGGAAACAACTAACATGTCATAGTGTTGGAAATTATAACAACATACTATCGGGAGGTTAAGCAGAAGTGTCAATTTGGTTTTAGATAAATAAATGGTGTCTTTATGAGATTAGTTAGTTGTGTAAAGTTATTTATGAATTTTGTTTATGTATTGGATGTGAAATGTGCAGTCTTGTTGATTCTATTTGTTGGGAAATAGACAAAACTTATGTAAATGTAGAGAGTGAAAAAAACATTAAAAAAGAAGAAGATCAAGGCACAAAAATACAGAAGCATTTTACACAAGTCACCCTCACCCAACTGATTGCGACATTTTATTGCCATTGTTGCAAATATTAATATGATTTGATTTTAGAGAACATACAACCCTTATTTTTCTTGTACTACATAGAATGCCTCCTCTTTATGTCTACAAATGTTGGATGCAAATTGTGTGATTACCCTTGCATTTTCATTACTTGTGATTATGCTTGAATAATGTGTTTTTTTCATAAGTTAAAAATTAGATTTCATTATATAACAGTGTCTACACTCTTTGATGAAGACATCTAGCCGTGGAAAGTTTATCAAAGGAAGGGCCAGAGATCTACGGCTACGATCATATAACTCTATTTCTGAACATTTATTTGTATTTGATTTATTATGTGTAGTTTTTCTTTTTTACTCTCACTTGAGGGAGTAGGCTTATGTGACCCCAGGGGGGAGGATGATTATTATGAATGAACATTTCTGCACTTTGTGTCTAGGTGTAGTTGAGAGCCTTGAGAGTTCTTGTGATAGCTTATGTGAAGTCCCTAGGTGAGGGCAAAGCAAGACCCGTCAGTCGTAGGAAGCGTCCGGGCTCACGGTTTATCTCCGCCTCCACCCCCATTTAGCTTGCCGCCACATTCATCTCCTCCCAAAGCTCCAACTGACCACCTCCTTGTTCCCATGGCTGAAACCATCATGACTCCCTCTTCCCATGGCTGAAACCATCATGGCTGAGATCATCTAACATTTTCCTAAATTAGCCTAGCGTTAATTTCAGAAAAATCTAAAATTCAAATTTGAAATCTCCTAAAGCCTTAAATCATTTCCCAAATTTTCGGTTTATGTTTGTAAGCATATCCCAATCAATCAATGTGAATATTAATTGGAGATCTCAATTAATTCCCCTTCCTAAATTTTGAAAAATCTGAAATTCAAATTCGAAATCTCCTAAAGCCTTGAAATTCTTTCCTAAATTTTTGGGTTATATTTGGAAATATTTCCCAATCAATCAATGTGAATATTAATTGGAGATCCCAATTAATTTCCCTTCCCAAATTAGCTTAGTGTTAATTTTGGAAAATTTGAACTCAAACTCAAAATCTTCTAAAGCCTTGAAATCCTTTACCAAATTGTTGGATTATGTTTAGAAATATATCCAATCAATTAATTTGAATATTAATTGGAGATCCCAATTAATTCAGCTTTCCAAATTAGCGTAGTGTTAATTTTGAAAATTTTGAATTCGAATTTTCCTCAAGCCTTGAAATCCTTTCCCAAATTGTTGGGTTATGTTTGGAAAGATATCCCAATCAATCAATTTGAATATTAATTGGAGATCCCAATTAATTCCCCTTCCTAAATTAGCCTAGCATTAATTTTGAGAATTTGAATTCTCTTACAAGCCTTGAACTCCTTTCCTAAATTGTTGGGCTATGTTTGGAAGAATATCCCCATCAACAAATATGAATTAATTCCTCTTTCCTTAACTAGTAAGCTATAGTTGGCAACTCTACTAAGGTCCAAATCAGCCCCCCCTAATCATTTAGTGCTTGTCACCCCCAATTTCATGCTAGGAGCTTGCTGTTTCCCTCCCAAATCATCCCAAAGACAACCGCCTAATGCTGAAATACAGGATTTAGCTCATCTTCCAGTCACAATACTAGTTGTTCCAAGATTTGGCGCCCACATAGTTGCTATCCAGAATTTCCGGAAATGTTAGAGTGTTGTCCGAGCGTGCAAGAGGGTTCGTATTGCTATCCTTTCCACATAGGCAACCAAGCGACTTTGTCGTGGCTTAGTATCTTCTTCGGAGATGTTAGAGTGTTGTCCGGGCATGCAAGAGGGTTCGTATTGCTATCCTTTCCACATAGGCAACCAAAAGAATTTGTCGTGGTTTACATCTTCGACATAGCTTAGTATCTTCATCTATGCGGGGTAAACTCTCCCCATCCCCCCATTTGTACCTTTTTGATCCCTCAATCATGACATCATTTTATTGTGAAAGCTTATCTGCTTAGCCCACACCAAGAGCATTGTGTGAATGGGCCTTTGTAGTGACTAATCTATTTGTTAATTTAGGGATTGTCTCTGAAACATCACGTGAGCATGTTATTAATTAATCTGTTATTTAATGGTCCTCCCATTAGCATGTGATTGTTTTCGTAAACTTGATTGCCCCCTTTGTAGTGATTGCTTAAGTTCATTGTGATTTAATAAATTGTTAAGCTCTTTTCAAGCACGCGTAATTTTCAAATCAACATCACTAGCATATATAGTTCTTCATTACTCTTTTAAACAAAAAAGTCATGTTTGAACTTAACATTCTATTTCTGTTATTTTTTTAGTATTGTTTCCACTTGGACTTAGTAGTGTTGTTTGTTGATCTTTAGAAGTAGCAAGTTGCACTAGAGTCGAACTAAAGAATGTGACAGAGTTTGGTTGGGGCAACTACAACTTTTTACAAGGTGGTTAAAGAGCTATTGTTGGGTAATGAATTTTTTTAAAATCTATTATAGGTATTATATATATTTTCAATTTTGGAAATGTCCGGACAGTAGCTTTCCTACAGGTACCATGCTTTTGCATATCTAGTTCTAAAAAATAGCTTCTCTCCACAGAAAGTAGTATCTAAACAAATGTGTGGCATCGATCTAAAAAACAAAGCAACGAGAACGCTGCCCCACAAACCCTATTTTGTGATGCTTAAGTTTTCCTTATTGTTGCTAGGCCAACTATTAATCCAAGAAATTCCTCTTTTATGTTGAAGTTAGGTCTTGAAAATTCAAATGGCGAGGAAATTTAACTCACCTAGGATTGTAGGCACAAGGAATGTTAGTTGTATGACAAACTCATTTTATAGAGGGCAAAAAATAATAGTGTTTGCTAGTGATTCGTTTAACAATACCATATTGTGTATCAATTAGTAGAATAATAATTAATCGAGGTTGTGCTTATGGATTAGTTGTGGGAAACCTATGAACTCATAACTGCTCATGTTGAACATAGAGTAAATTAGAATGTTGAGATGGATTTTTAGAAAGTTTCAGGTGAGAATTTTTTTTATCAGAATTATAGCTAGAGTAGCATCTATTGAAAATAATATAACGAAAACAAACTTTAGGCATGTGCATCAAAGGGTATAAATTGCTCCAATTTGGTGGATAGACATAATTAACGTGAAAAGATTATGAAGGAAAATTGTAGATCAAAGCTAACATGATTGGAAGTTGTGCTGAAGGCTAGCACAAAGAACAATTAACTTGTTAGGTAGAACTTAGCTGGAATGATGTAGAATGAGGATTAAGTGGAACACAAATAATGGTTATGAAGCTATTGATGATGCATTTATATTCACATGAGAATGAACAGAGCATAAAACATAAAAAAGATGAGTCACGCAAGATTTGTAGAAGTTGAGACATGATGCACTGGGTAGATGACTTGTACATCCTGAATAATTGTGCTGAGCTCAATTTTGTGTCATACATGACAAATATCTGTGAATGAGATAAGGACATATGAGTGATATTCAATATTAAAAAAATATGCATGATAGAGGAAACATAGGAACATATGCATGCATATTATTTATAAGTTTTAAAGGAGCACAAAGCTATAAGATACATAAATGTTGTTAGTTTGAATAAACATAAAAGCAAAATTGGAGTTGAGTAAGAAAAGTTAGCATTGGGACCAACTTCAATCATTGTTTGTAGGCTAAAGGAGAAAGATACAGGGTTGGTTAGAGTTGAGATCACTTGATAAAGGAAGAGACAGCATATACAACACCTATTGCATAACTTGTGCATGGATTTACTAGT